AAGAGAAAAATCCTAAAACCATAATTTTTACATCTTCTTCCTGTTTGTATTTACTGACACATCACAGACTTTGAACTTGATCTTCCCTCTTGCTGGAATATTTTCTTCCAGTTCTTCACACAGTGGCTTTTTCCAATCATTTAGGTCTCAGTTCAGATGTTACTCCCACACAGGCCTCCTAAGCACTCCTCCTGACACAGTAGCCCCAGTGCCACTCTGCTCACCATCTTTACCATCCTGATGCTGGCATTCTAAAGGGCCTTCCTCAGAGTTTCCAAGATCCCACCATGGATCATAAATGTGGATCTGAAAGGATTCCAGACCCATTAAATCCTGGAGGGCATTTTCCAAACCTCTGGACCCACATGAGGTCAGATGCCCTAAAGAACGCCCATCCGCGTTCTTAATGAGGTCACTCATTGGCTCTATTTCCATTCCTCACCATGAGCACAGCCCAGCCAGGCAGTTGCTCCAGCTGGTGGCACCACAGCTCTCTCATGGGCATATGCAAGACAGAGCAGCCATACTGGTGCTGCTAGGTTTACTTCTTTGTATAGACACAGATTCACCAGCCTCTGGGGGGGGGCACTGTGCTATATAGCACTTCCACAGACTCAAAGCACACTGGTGATCAGTGCACCTCTTTCCTCGGTGCTGTCCCAACACCAGTAGAGCACAGGCTCATTGAAGATGGAAGCTTCCAATGTCTTGTTTTCCAGGGGATGTTCAATGCCAGAACAATCCCAGGAACAGAAATTTCCGATAAATATGCTGAGCTGGTAACCGAATCACTGCCTGAGTCACTGTGTTTAACAACAGATGTCTTTCCTCTAGACTGTGAGTTCTCAAGACAAAGCTTTCTACTCAACCGCCCTGGTCCTCAAATGGGATAGTGCCTGCCACATGAGAAGGCAAGAAATCAGTAGCTTTGAATGCACAAATGAATGCAGAAATGGAGGAAAGAGTTAATGAATACACACACCATCTGCACTACAAGTTCTTAATATTGTCTTCATGTTAGAATCATCCAGAGGGATTTTTTAAAAACTGCAATGCCCAGGACCAATTAAGCTAGAATCTCACAGGATGTGTCCCAAACATGAATCTATTTAACTTTTAAGCAATTCCAGGCACAGTTTCAAAGAGGGTGGCCAGTCATCCAGGTTTGCTCCAGGTTTAGGCATCTATCCACATACAGGACTTGGAGCACTAAAACTGCAATTTCACTGGACAAACCAGGATGCTTTGGGGCTGGTGTTGTGGCGTAGCAATAAAGCTGCTGCTTGTGACATCAGCATCCCATATGGATGTCAACCATGTCCTGTCTGCTCCATTTCCAATACAGCTCCCTGCTAATGGCCTGGGAAAATCAGTGGAAGATGGCCCAAGTGTCTGGGCCCCGGCCACCCACAGGTAACACTTGGATGAAGGTTCCTGCTTTGGCCTGGCCTAGCCCTGGCAATTGTGGCCACCTGGAGAGTGAACCAGCAGATGGAAGGTCTTTCTTTCTCTCTGTCTCTCGCTCTCTCTCTGTAACTCCAACTTCCAAATAAATAAATTAATCTTCAAAAAAAAAATCAGGAAGGTTGGTCCCACAGCTTGACAACCCTGGATCCAAACTGTCACCCAGGACAAAACTTGAGTGATGGATTTCAATTTTTGAAAAGTCAAAATTCATTGGCTTCATGTTCTCACTTGACACCTATCTAATTACATTCAGGCATGAAGCTCACCTTGACCTCAATCACTGCTCCCTGCTCTGTGTTCTTGTTCAAGTGTGCGCTGCTATTACTGCCATGGGTGATGAACAAATTTCTGACACAAATGGCAAAGGAAAGGATCAAACCATTACATCAAGAATCAACAGACCAGCTCTGAAGAAGCCAACGAAAGCATAAAATGTGACGTTTCCAAATGCAATCCTAAAGAGCCTTCATGATTTCTCTCTCTCAATTGATGCCTGTACATCAGGACACGTCCCTATTTACTTGTTCTGCCAGTTTCCCTGAAATGAGTTTGCAATCCCTGCAGCCACATGAGAATATAAAAATTTTCTTAAGGGAAAACTCCCTGTGTAAGTGGAATTAGTATTCATCATCTCAAAATACTGACCATTTACCACAAGCACCTGGTTTAGACAAAACACATCAATGTGGGACACCAGAATCAGAAATGCTCTTCTAGCTAGGAAGGAAAATAAGCCCATAACTCTGCAGGGTTTTACATAAAGCAGGATCCCAGGTCAGCAGCAGCAGCACTGGGCACTTATTAGAAATGCAGAGTCCCAGGCCTGACCCCAGAACTCTTAGAATAGAATGTCTGCACGTGGAACCTAAGAGTATGTATTTTTAAAAGTTCTCCACTTGCTGCAGACTTTATGACAGAGGGGACTAAGCCTACCGCATGGGAAGCCTGTATCCTGTAGCTGGGTGCTGGTTCCAGTTCCAGCTTCTCCACACTTCCATTTCAGCTTGCTACTAAACACCTAGAAGGCTATAAATAATGGCCCAAGTGCTTGGGTTGCTGTCATCCACTTGGGAGACTCAGATTGAGTTTCTGGCTTCTGACTCTGGCCTGGACCAGCCCTGGCTGTAGCAAACATTTGGAAAGTGAACCAATAGACAGAATCAATCAATCAATCAATCTATCTATCTCCTCTGTCTCTCTCTCTTTCTCTCTCTCTCTCTCCACTGTCTCTGCCTTTCCAAATGTATAAATATATAATATAAGTTCTCCATGGTATACTTACTCGGGCTCAAATTTGAGAAGTGTTCATCTAGCAAACATCTTGCCTAATTCCTAACATCAGCATCTCAGAGCCCCAAGAGAAGAGGCAAGAATAAGCAGGAGAGGAGGCAAGTGTTCAGTTGTTCCCAGCCTGGGCAGCCTATGGGAGACACCTGCGGAGCTTCACATACTGTCCATGCTGAGATGCCACTGCAAGCCAGGTCATGTCACTGGAATGGGGTGAAACCGGAGCACGGGGATGGTGGTTAAGCTCCCAAGGTGATTCCAAGGTGCAGTGAAGCCTGAGAGTCGCTGATGTAGTTTAATCACCAGGGACCCTGATCACACCTCATTGCTTGTGACCTGCCCAGTGGATACATGGACTCTCCCTGCTCCTTTCACAAACATCAGATGCAGAAAGGACAGAAGGAAGGAAGAGCTCACTGGGCTTTACCCTCACCTCTGACATGGCAAACACTTGCTCCATTTACCCAGTTAGCAGTGGCTGGACCTCGGTTCCCTGCAGCCCGTCTGGCCCCCAGTCTCTTCTTCTGTCTGATGCACCCAAGAAGACCCAGTTCTCAGGGGTAGTGAGTTCATTACCTTTGACAACATGTGAAGGTGCCTGATCTTTGCCTAGCACAGCAGATCTGAGCAAGGGAAGGGCATTTGTTCCTCCATCCTTTCCCTGCTGGTGGGACTCCCAGCAATGGGGGGCAGGGGGAGGCCTTTCCTTGCTGTGCCAAGGGTGTGGCTGAGCTGTGAAGAACCTGTCCACATGTGACCTCACTTCTTTGACCTCATTTCAGTCTCACAACATCTCAACTAGGTCAACAGGACAATTTTTATTGTCCACATTTCATAGACAAAAAAACAGTAGCATTGAGAAATGCAGTCTTGCAGAATCACAGAAGAGTAGACTAGGATCCCCTGACTGTAGACCAGGGCTCCCCCTGCCTACGCATCACCTCCGCTCACTGCCTCACATACAGCTGCTTGCTGGGATGCATCCAGAGCAGCTCAGACCCAGTAGCCCTTCCTGCAGTGACAGAAGTGGTCTATTCCTGGGATCTACAGCTGTCAACTACATGTGCTACTGAGCACTTGAAATGTGGCTAGTGTGATAAACGAAGCAAAGTTCTCCTTTGATTTCATTTTAATAAACAGCCACATAGGAACAGCCCTGAACTAGAGGGGAAGTCTGGAGAAAAATGGGCAATCACTCCAGTGGTTTCTATCCACAAAAGTCAAAGTAAACATTAGCCACTTGCATGCCTTTCTCTTAAGAATACTCACTTTCAGGAGAGGGCAAAGATGGCCCTCCATTTGATGAGGAACCCTTCCCCTGGCTAAATACAATCCTGATGATGCCCTGACAACAGGTGCAAACTGTGGTGGAGAGCAGTCTTCTCAAACCTTAATGTGCACACAGGCATCAGGGATCTTGTTAAAATACAGATGCTGGGCCAACGCCATGGCTCACTAGGCTAATCCTCTGCCTGTGGCACCAGCACCCCGGGTTCTAGTCCCGGTTGGGGCGCCAGATTCTGTCGCGGTTGCCCCTCTTCCAGTCCAGCTCTCTGCTGTGGCCTGGGAGTGCAGTGGAGGATGGCCCAGGTCCTTGGGACCTGCACCCGCATGGGAGACCAGGAGGAAGCACCTGGCTCCTGGCTTTGGATTGACGCAGCACGCCGGCTGCAATGCGCCGGCCGTAGTGGCCACTTGGGGGGTGAACCAACGGAAAAAGGAAGACCTTTCTCTCTGTCTCTCTGTCTCTCTCACTGTCTAACTCTGCCTGTCAAATATATATATACATATATATATACATATATATAGATGCTGCCCTCCTGCATCTGGCCTCGGGCTTGAGGTTTGCATTTCTAACAAATGTCCAAGGATGCTTTTGCCGCTGCTGCTACTCAAGGGCCACCCTTGGGCCACCCAGGCTGCAAGGCAGAGCCTCTGGGCAGGCTGATCCTGCCTTCCTCTGTGTCTAGGGGCATTTGACAAGGTCTGGTGACATTTCTGATTGTCATGACTGGGAGGATGGGGGTGCAAGGTGCTACTGGCATCTACTTGGTTGAGTCCAGGGATGCTATTAAATAATCTACAGTGAACACAACAACCCCAAGTGTCCATAGTGCTGAGTCTGAGAAGCCGCACTGGAGACGAGTGGGCTGTCCAGGAAGGGCGATGCGGTGGGTGTGTCTGTTTAGCCTAATAACTGATCACTGTCTTCTCTCCCCCTCTTTTCTCCACTTGTCTACACACAGGAGCCAATGCCTCCGCCCCAGACCAACTGAGCTTAGCTTTAGCCTGGAACAGAGTGGACATCGCCCGCAGCCAGATCTTTATTTATGGGCAACAGTGGCCGGTAGAGTATATGTCGTCGCCCCAGAAAAGCCCATTTGCTTGGGCCAGGGTATTTGTTTAAGGAGCCTCTGAGAGGGGCTCTGGTATCTACTGCCTTTTCCGTAGGATGGAAAATGTTCCTTCCTAGCATCATCCCTGGCATGCACGCCCTTCTCAAATCTGGGGAAATGCTGCCACCTGGTGGAAATAACAACCGTGGACAACCCCAAACATGTCCATCTTTATGAATGACCTGTGATTGATACTGTCAGCTGCCAAAGATTACAATGCTTTTTAATATTCTGGAAATACATATATGACAAAGTTTAATTAAAATTAAGTAAGATGTGTACTTATTTTGTTTCTTATGGTTTTTGAGAAGGGGCAAGATGAAGAGGTTGCTGCTGCCAGGTGGTGGCACTGCATGCTGGTTTATGGCTGGGAATTAGCAGGCCTCCGTAGGCAGGTGCCATCTGGTCCTGGTGCCTGAGCACAGGACCTCCCTGGTCCCAAAGAACAACACAGGGGACCAGAGCTTTACGTAACTGTACTTGGTTTATTTCCCTCAATCGACTACCAAAAATAAAGACCTGGGAAACTGGCCCTTGTGCGGGATGCACATGCCCCTACAGGAGGCAGCCCAAAGCCTGAAATTAGATTTCCGTGCCTGGAATCACAGCACTCAAGATCAGGGCTTTTTTAACTCTTTCTTTCCCCCAGAGGGCTTCTGCCTGGTATTGAGCACCTATCTTCACTTAGTGCCAGGGGACTGCTAGGTGCAGAGATGCGTGGAGGCGTCTGGACATCGGGGAAGCTTATGAAAGGATGTAAATCAAAATCTGAGCCAGTGGCAAATCCAGACAGTGGGTTTCTGGGCTGTTCTGTTTTTAGTTAAGTGACGTCCCCTCGCCTCCATCTTGCCCATTTCTACACGGAGATCTGGTATCTCTATGGGTCCTTGCATCCTTTGACTTGGGTCTGTCTTCCCCAATCAGCCAGAGACCTCATTCAGAGATGACCAAATGAGGACATTATGGTCCCAACTCAGGCACGTCCCTGGCATTGGGGGAAGTTTGGTTAGAAAATTGGAAGGGAAAGAATCTTATAAATGCTTATACTTTCTTAGGATCCAAAACAAGAGAGAGACTCAGGGAAGAAAGAGCTTTTGGAATTAGAAATCTTTGAGTTCTATGCAGAGACAGTTCCCCAAACACAAGAGAGGTTAGAGCTGTCCTAAACTGGAGCTATCAGCAACCTCGTCAGCAGTCTTGGATGTACTGAAGGTTTACCAGTTGTCAAAAGGCACCTTTTTTTTTTTTTTTTTTTTTTTTTTAAGTTATTCAAAGAACTGCATCTCTAGGCCCTGGGGCAGACTAACTCAGTGACTTGATTTACAGGTGGGGTCTCTGGAGCAAGCCATGTTGGATGCCCTAGTTCTGGACAGAGTGGATTTTGTGAAATTGCTCATAGAGAATGGAGTAAGCATGCATCGTTTTCTCACCATCTCCAGACTAGAGGAATTGTACAATACGGTAGGGCCAAGCTAAGGCACTTTTTATTTTCTCTGTTTTTCTGTTTTATCTTCTGCCCCACACATGCCTTGTGATTCGCTGCCCCTCTTCCCTCCCAAGTGCATGGATCACTCGTCACAAACACTCCCTCAGAACCACGTAGCCAGCAAACGCCAAGTGCCCAGGGTCCCACTTGTTGTAACTGCTCAGTTGTCACCACCTAAGGGAAAAACTCCGTGACCAGCTTGGGGCGCTCCTGTCAGATTCTGACACAAGACCACCAGGCTCTGGAAGTTTGTGCTGTAAACCCAGAGGGAGTTTGAGGCAAACCTGCACAGGAAAGTGACTTAACTCCATGCATGCAAGTGGCTGATGATCCACTTTGCGCCTTTTTGTTATCCTGAGAGCTAAGACATTCACTCTTCTTCTGAGAGAGTGGAATAAGATGGAAAATAGCTCTTGTCTGGAATCATACAAAAACAATTCTTTTAGATTTGTTTAATTATGTAATGATTTGTTCATTCATTCACTCGAATGTGAAAGAGTAATTATAGAAAACTACTGAGGTTTTTGAGAGCACTCAGCAAGTGCATTGGCTCTGAGCTGACACTTGCTGAAATCCAGTGACATTCAAGGAGCAGATACTGTGTTTCCACATGGTGCAGACAAAGAACGTGAAGCTATCATATTACATTTGTTCAGCTAAAACCAAGTATCCAGGATGGGGTAATGTAGGAGAGTACTTTAAGAAGTTCATGGAAGATGGAGTTAAAAGATAAGTTCAGGGCTGAGCATTTGGCCTAGCAGTTAAAGATGCCTGCATCCCATGTCAGACAGCCTGGGTTTGATTCACAGTTCCCGCTCTGGACTTCTTCCTGCTAATGCAGACCCTGGAAGACAGCAGACAATGGCTCAAGTGCTTGAGCTTCTGCCACTCATGTGGGAGAAATAAATCAAGTTCCAGCTCCCAGTCCTGGCTGTTAGGCAGTTGGAGAGTAAGGCAGTAGATGGTAGCTATGTCTGTCTCTATGTATGTCCGTCTGTCTCTCTCTCTCTCTCTACATATATATATATATATGTATATATATAATATACTTTATATATATAATATATATGTAATATATATGTCCCTCAAGTTAATTTTTTAAAAAGCTTATTTTGGTGAAGAAAACTGTGCAATTTTTCCATGAACTTTCTGAAGTACCCTCCTACAAACAGCAGAAATCTATTTTTCACAGTTGTGACATCAGGGTCCAATCTCCAGAAGCTGGAGGGTGGTGCCTGTGAGGGCGTCCAAAAGGATGCCTTGTTGCTGCGCCCTCTGGAAGAACAAAACGCTGCATCCCCACATGGTGGGCAGGAGGGACAGGAGTGGAGAGGACCACCTGTTATCTCATGATGTCCATTCTCCATCTGCCTGAATCCCATGGGCAGGAAAGGAGCACCCAGGACCTAATCTCCTCCAAATGGCCCCACCTCTTGATATTCTTGTATTGGAGGTTGTTTCAACATGGATTTTGTAGGGGACACAAACATTCAAACCATAGAAGGGGCTGGTTTATTCAAGGCAACAAACTCCTGAGAACAGAAAGCAACCATGGCTACACGCAAGGGATTCTGTTTCCTCTCAACTAACACGGTGTCTCTGGGCCACCACCCAGAACACCAAGGGGCTGCAGCTTGCTGACCTGTCCCCATCCACCATTAGGTGACACCCCCTCCCCACCGGCTCCACTGCAGTCCCACTGGACGAAGGAGAAAAGAGGTTAGCAGAGCAGCTCCAGGTTTCTGGTTGCTTGGCAGATTTTCCTTCGCAGATTTTCAGGAAGAATAATGGGGTGCTCCCTTTAAAGTACATAAGTCAGCCTTGAATGGCTGTGTATCAATTACTCCGAAGATTGAAAAGAGAGGAAAGAAGTAGGCAAGTTCTAGATGAAGAAAGGCCAGTAAGACTTCATCACTCCAACCAAGAGGTGGTATTAGGAAGGATGGTGGGACAGTGAATGGTCCCAGCAATGATAAAAGCTGATGATCGGCCAGCACCGCGGCTCACTAGGCTAATCCTCCACCTGCGGCACCGGCATCCCATATAGGCGCCGGGTTCTAGTCCTGGTTGGGGTGCCAGATTCTGTCCTGGTTGCTCCTCTTCCAGTCTAGCTCTCTGCTGTGGCCCGGGAAGGCAGTGGAGGATGGCCCGAGTGCTTGGGCCCTGCACCCACATGGGAGACCAGGAGGAGGCCCCTGGCTCTTGGCTTCGCATCAGCACAGCGCGCTGGCTGTAGCAGCCATTTGGGGAGTGAACCAACGGAAGGAAGACCTTTCTCTCTCTCTCTCTCTCTCTCTCTCTCACTCTCTCTCTCTCTCTCTCTCTCACTCTCACTCACTCTCTAACTCTGCCTGTCAAAAATAAAATAAAATTAAAAAAAGCTGATGATCGCTGAGTGCTAAACATGGTTTCAACAGCTTTGTCAACATCACATCACATAATCTTTACAGCAATCCTTATCTAGTAAATCGGTATGCATGGCTACACCTTACAGGTGATAGAATAGTGTCATAGTTAAGTACTGTAGTTTGCCTGTGTCGGCTCAGAGCCTCAGCCGTGGAGCCAGGCTTGGAGCCTGGCACTCTGCCTCCTGGGTCTGCATGTTCAGTTGCCGAACAGTAGAGCCGTCGCTTAGTGGAAGAGGGCTCTGCTGACAGCACCCACATGGACGGGCAGGATGTCAAGGCAAGGCCCCGGGGCTGCCTCAAGACTGGCAGGTGCTACGACAGTGCCTTAGGACATCTCATTACTGTTTCAGGTCCTCCAATAAGATCACCAGATTGAGCAAGTCAATTATGGGATGTCCAGTAAAACTTGAATTTCAAATAACCAGCAAACAATTGCTTAGAATAAGCATGCACGTAGTTCTAAAAGCTTAGAGGAAAACGGAATTAAAAGATATGCTTTTTTCAGCATAAGAATTTTTAAAATTCAGGCAGATTTTTTTCCTAGTGCACATTTCTCATGAACTTTTTAAAGATCCTATATTTGTGTGATTTCAAAATATTTTTGAACTAAAATAAATTTCTCCTTTAATTCCATTTTTTCCATGAGCTATCTGGGGTACCACTGTATACCCCAAATAGTGTGTGGCCTGGGATTCCAGCTTCCTGGTGGTGCACACCCTGGGAGGCAATAGATGACAGCTCAAGTACTTGGGTCCCTGCCACCCATACTGGAGAACCAGGCTGAATACCTGGCTCCTAGCATTGGCCTGGCCCAGTCCTGGCTGCTGTAGGAATTTGAAAAGGAAGTCAGCAGGTGCAAAATCTCTGATTTCATGTGTGTGCACGTATGTGCGTGTGCACACCCCTTCTGCCCTTCAAGTAAGTAAAACAAATACAAATTAAAAGGGGTCTTCATTGTTATCTGAAATGCAATTTCAACTGGATATCCTATATTTAGCCTTGCTTTTCCTAAGACAATAGAATAACTCATTTCACTGTATTCATAACTCCTGAAAACATAAATCTTCTCCCCAAGTATTTCTTTTGCCCAACCTGTGACTTTGTCTTTAAACCAGGTCTCAGCAAACTATCACCCAAAGGACAAATCCCCCCACTGCCTGTTTCTATAGGATCTATAAACTAAGGATGGTTTCTTACACATTTTTTCCCACAATGAACTCAATCAAAAAGTAAAATGACATTCTGTGATATATTAAAATTATATGAAATTTGACTTTGTGTCAATAAAGTTTTATTAAAACACAGCCAAGCTCTTCATTTACATATGATCTATGGCTGCTTTCACACTAGAAGAGTGGAGTTGAACAGTTTTGATAAAGGCTTATAGATCACAAACCCTAAAATATTTACTATCTGGCCTGGAACAGAAAAAGTGAGATTTCTCATTCGTCTTGAGTAACACAGGAGCTGCAACGGCAGCGTGCCCAAGTTACCTCCAGTGTGGAAAAACAGTGGCCCCTCTGCCTCCACCTGTACAGCTCCTCCCGCGATAGCTGGGGCCCCCTGTTAGCAGCATGCTGACCTGCCCTCCCTCACGAAGTGCAGACCTACAGTGCAAAAACCTGCCCGTGGCTTTGTTTAGAAACAAGCAAACAAACAGATCCAACTGAGCAACCAGGACAAGGGCCATCTTAGGGAGCTGCCTCTCCAGCCAGAACCCTTCCGTCCAGTCCCTTTGTGCCTTGCCGGTGAGAGCCCCGGGCCAGCAAAACTATTTGATTCTTCTTTGTTATTTTCAGAGACATGGGCCCTCAAACACATTGTACCACTTGGTCAGGGATGTCAAAAAGGTAAGAACCCTCCCGCCTGCCGGTCGGAGGCTGTGTCTTGACTGCTTCCCGTGACGGATAGTGCCTCTGTTTTGCATGAGCCGCCCGCGCGCCCCCGTCCCCGCCAGACCCCGCATTTTTGAACAGCGTGCGTGTGTGTCTATCTTCTAACACCAATGCCTCTGCTTCCGACGCAGCTCTGGTTTTACCTCCAGTCGCCGTGGTTTCTGATGCTTTTGTTGGACTTAATGCTTTTAGATGGTGGAACTCTAGGCTCTCCTTGTGCCAAGTGGATTTATGCCATTGCCTGTGCTGTATGCCCCTCACTGTTTGGGGAGCCAGTTTCCAGCTAACTGGCCATGAGAGGTATCGTCCTTTGCTAGCTCCTGATACAACGGCACTTCTAGCATTATACAAAGGGTAGGAAGCATAGCTCCAGTTTCAAAGGAACAGGGACTAAAACACACGAATGCATCCCATTCGGGGAAAACTTTATTTTCTCCAGAATACTTTGCATTCATCATCTTATTTAATGAGAGGAAAAAATCTTGTTGGGATGGATCAAGGATTATTCCTCCCAGTTAGAAATGAGGAGTCCAAAATATAAGAAGGTAAGAACCGTACTAGGTGGTTAATGAAGAGCTAGGATTAGGTCCTTTGATTAATAATAATTAATATAAAATAATAATAACCATTATGATTTAGGGATGACCAGGTATATAGCACTGATACAATCTATCATCTTAACACATATAATATTCACAATAATTCTATAAAGTAGAGTTGTTACTTCATTATATAATATTCCCCTTGAAAGTTGAGAGGAATGAAGCGTGGGAGGTTGTGTTTAAACTTAGCAAAAGTCTTGTCCTTTCACCTCTGCCTCCCTCAGGGGTCACTCGGGTTCTGAACCCTTGAATGTACCCCATAAATTGGTTTAAGTTGCAAAAGATAAAATAGATGGTGGCACGTGCCCACCTCACACACACGCATGCACCACATAGGTGTGTGTGCCCACCATCACCACTCTGTTACAGTTCTTCACCCAAGCCCACTGGACATAGTGAAAACTACAAAGTGAGGCCAAACACTCCTCCATCTCACAGGAGGTCATTGGCTAGAACTGACTTGTAGGAGCCCTGAAGTCTGTTTAAATTTTCCTTCAAAAGGTGGGGGGGGGGGGAATGTCACTACTGACCTGCTGGATCTTTGCTAATAATGAGTAGAGGGCATTAAAAAGAAAAAAAGAAAAAAAAAAGAGCAAATTCTTTCATCCGGCCCTTGCAAACTTTCCTCTGAGCTTCCTGCAACATTAATGGGGAATAGGTCATCTGGGTGAGTGAAGGAAGCCTGTAGTTCTTCCATTCCAAAGCCACGGAAACAGACGCTGTGCAATCCGAACTCCCAATTCAACAACTTTTAATAAGAGCACACCTTCCCTTGGTCTGCCACAGTAGTATGTCTGCCTTCAACAAACCCCTCTCTCTCTTTCCTTCAGCCCTTTTAGTTTGAATTTATCTTGGCCTCAAATTATCTGGAAACTACACAAAAGATGTAGATTAGAAGTGGGCACATCCAAGGTGTATTCTATGCCAAGATGCTGTTGTCCACACTGAACAGAATGTTTTGAGTTTGTCTGAAATAAGGAAAACTCTATCACCCTCTGCCCCTTGCCTTAAGCCAGTAAGTGTCCGGGTAGATTGTGAGACTTTCAAGAGACAGCTGTGCCTTTGTTCCTCAATCCCAGCCATCAACCAACCCACGCCTACAAACAGTCACACATCCACTTCCACCGCCCCGTCTCTTGGCAGCAATGTCAGGCCTGATTGGCAAAAGGGATTTCTGCAGATAGATTTCACTGAGTGTGAATGACCAAAATCTCTTCCTCACAGGACTCTGTGTGTTCTCTTCCTCACAGGACTCTGCTTTGCAATATCGTTTCCTCTTTTCTGAAATCCCTTGTGCTGCCTTTTCCATTCACTCATATTACTTGAAAAGGATCTTGAGGGTGAGATTAGTGTGAGCTTCTTAGCTAGAGATACACCTTAGAAATAATATAGACTAACAAAAAAAGTGACAGGATGCTAAGAATTTGTGACACAGGAGTATAAGAGCAGAGCAAGAAGATACCTGTATAGACATTTGTTTACTTACTAATTTAGTAACTAGGGGAAATGGTTTGCTAAAAAATCACCCAGAGTAATACTGAACTGACCTAATAACAACTTATCCCTTTATCTGGGAAAACAGATGGCCAATAGGGTGGGGAGGAACAGAAAGCCCACTTCTTCCTTAGGGAAAAACCAGATGAAATTTACTCCCATGATAAAGGTGAGTGTTGTACTACAGCAAAGCAGTAAATAACCAATGCAGTCAAAGCACCAGAAGTGTCTACATTTTATGTTCCACGGATGAAGGGGCTGAAAAGGAGACTGCTTTATTATTTTGTGTTTTTTAAATATATGAATGAGAAATAAATTAACAATGGTACATAATTCTCTCACATGGTTTCCCATGACTTCCAGCAATTTAGGCCAATAAGATACTCATGAGCCACAAAAACAAGGTTTAAAGTGCTAAGAAGGCTGCCGCTGTGGCTCAATAGGTTAATCCTCCACCTATGGTGCCAACACACCAGGTTCTAGTCCCAGATTCTGTCCCGGTTGCCCCTCTTCCAGGCCAGCTCTCTGCTGTTGCCAGGGAGTGCAGTGGAGGATGGCCCAAGTGCTTGGGCCCTGCACCCCATGGGAGACCAGGAGAAGCACCTGGCTCCTGCCTTCGGACCAGCGCGGTGCGCCGGCAGCAGCGTGCCAGCCACAGCGGCCATTAGAGGGTGAACCAAGGGCAAAGGGGCAAAGGGGCAAAGGAAGACCTTTCTCTCTGTCTCTCCCTCTCACACTGTCCACTCTGCCTGACAAAAATAAATAAACAATAAAAAAAGTGCTAAGAAAATCTTGGGAAATTTCAATAGCCTTCAAAATTAAGGAATATAACAAAATGAACATGTGTTTTTGTCACACAGGGGGCATACATATGTATGGGTGCATGTGACAAAATTAACCAATAAATTATAAACCCCAGTGCAAAATGCTGTTCATGAGTTAGCAAACAGTCATGGACCTCAAATGAGTGTTTGATAATATGTCTACAAAATTAAATGTGAATAACCCTTACAAACCCAGGGAATGCATTAAGGAATTATCTAGCCATCATAAGCCAACCAGCACATCATCTTGTCCAACTATTCTTTAAAACCAACAGAACTGAATGTGGAAAATTTCTCCCAAGCTAGGTTCAAAATCTCAGATTATTTCTATCAAGGGAGCAATCTAGGAGCCATGAAGTAAAGAGTTGCTATTCAGCATCAATCAGAAATTTAAATTGCTGTAAACCAAGTCAATTCTCTGAATGGTTTTCATGCATAAATCCATTGACTGTACCAATGCTCTCACATTAAACCAGAGTGACCCAAGTCTGTGTGCTTTCTGTGAAATATAACCTGCCATGTTAGCACCTGTCTGCTCAATTTGTGCCTCTGTATGTTTCCAAGTAGTTTTTCTTTCTTAAATTGAATGTGCTAATACTTCAGATTACAATCCCTTCCCACCAAAGGAGGGTGATTTTGAGGATTATATAGAAGTAGTGGTGAAATTATGATAACTTGAAGTTCATTTGCATGAGAATGAAGACCCAAACTTCATAGAATGTGGGGAAAAAAATTTCAGACACACTTAAGGTAAATAAAGGACATTTGAATAATCCCATCTGCTAAATTCATGCAAATTTCCAAAAGCTTTCTTATTTTTTACAAGACTGATTGCTGGTTCTATTACCAGGCTAAGCTGCAGATTTTCGCCAGCTGAAGCCTATGACTGGTGATTACCCGAACCACCTGCAGGCCACTTTCCTGTGTCACCAAGGCTCTCAGGAATAGTCTTTGTCTCACTCGCCTTTGGTAAACCTGACAACTGGCAATCATTTTACACCTTGAATACATCAGAAGGAAAAATCTCATTTTTGGAAGGCTTGCTACAAGTTTCAAAGATAAAAAAAAATCTGAATGTATTATCACAAGCCGATGTCTAGAAACAGTCCATTGGGAATAGCAGATGGAAAAAGCGAATTTAAAGTCTTCATTAAGAGCTCCTTACGCATTAAGCATGGCATGGGTTAAACCTTACCTTTATAGTTGCAGATCATAGCATGACAAGGGGAGACAGACTTTTCAAGTTCTCAGACTGTACCCACCATCGGCCTAAGCCCTTCTGCCAAAGTATTTGAGTCATGCGTCCTAGGACGCGTAGTTAAGGCCTGAGATGGGAAACAGGTGTTGAGCCTTTACCAGTGACCAAAGCAATGACCGAAAGGGGGATGGGGAAGCACAGGGAACAGCAGATGGAAGGAATCTTGCTACGGTGTCTGTCTTGACTTCCAGTTTGAAAAGTTCCCAGGCAAAGGAAGACTCCTCCGGAAGGCTTGTGGACATTACCTGGTGGTGTGCGTGGCACCGTTCACTTTCTTGGCCTTTTCCAGACAAGGCGGAGGCAATGAGCACAACCCCACCTCTGTCTTTGCCTCCCTCTTCCATTGCCTCCATGCCCTCAGTCCCACTCAGCAAAACTCCAAGGCATTCCTGCATCAACTCTGGAAGCTCTGGGCAGGGGTCTTGGTCCGGCAGCCTAGCAGGTAGTTGTCATACAGTTGGACTTTCAGACATAGCCAGGACTGTAAAAGTAATCATGTCTGAGGTACAGAGAAGGTGATCTGTTGAGGGTCACATGGGGGCCGAGCCAGGACCCAGCCTGGTGCTGCTTCCTCTATGGGGTCCTATCGCTGGCTGTTGTCTGCATATCTGTAAGGTCTCTCCTCTGCCCAGCAATGCCTTTCTAGGAGAAGCAATGCATTTGCATCATCTGGGACACCTGCAGGTCACAGCAGTCAAGACCATGGCCCAGCACCTCCTCAGTCACCGATGCTGCCCACCCCTTCAGAGTCCACTCAGGACACAGTTGTCCCAACAAGCCTAAATTGCACCCAATTGTACTAAATCTATTTCTTGTTTCCCCAAAGGTTTCCACTTTCCCCCCATGAAAATGAACTCCCTGAACTTTCTGCTCCCAAAATGTCTCTGGAAAGAAACAGGTCCAATAAGCCTTGCAAGCTGAGTTCAAACATTTAACTTGCTAAAGTAAACTTTTCCTCCTCCATATATCCCCTCCACAATAGCATCTGCCTCTGTCTTAACCCACAACCCTCCAATTCGGTCTGGATCCCTTTATAGGGCCTTGTTATACATATAAAACAGAACAGGAAGGTGAAGGCTTATAAGGAGGAATTCTCATTGGCTTCAGTTAGGTGAACATCGCCCCCTTGTGGACAGATCTAATGCAAGTCAGTTCTTTCACCTTCCCTGGGCTCTGTATAACCAGAGGGGTGGGTAAGTCAGTCTGAAATAATCAACATTTATTTGAGAAGATTCTAGTACCTCCTTTGGAATCTATACCTCGAACATTGCCTAATGAACAATCAATAGCTGAGGATGCTCTTATTTACCCCTTAAATCTTCATTGACTTTTAATTTTACTACTATTATCACTTTTCTGACAACCCCTCCAAAGCACAGACATTTCCATATTATACTGGTACCTGGAAAGCATTATCTTGTTCTTAGAATTAAAGCTCATACTCAGGATCGGCACTGGGGCGTATAGGTTAAACCTCTGCCTGCAGAGCCAGCATCCCATATGGGCGCCAGTTCGAGTTCCGGCTGCTCTACTTCTGACCCAGATCCCTCCTGATGCGCCTGGGAAGACAGTGGAGGATGTGCCAAGTGCTCAAGCCCCTGCACCCATGTCGGGGCCCCTGGAGGAAGCTTCTGGCACCTGGCTTCCGATTAGCCCAGCTCCAGCCATTGTGGCCATTTGGGGAGTGAACCAGCAGATGGAAGACATCTCTCTCTGTCCCTCTGTCTGTAACTCTTCCTCACAAATAAATACATAAATCTTAAAAAAAAAAAAAAAACTCACGCTCACACCCAAGTTTATCAAAACAAAATATATAAGTGTTATGCTCACTGTTACATGTTTTATTTTTTAACTAATTAATTGGGAGGTAGAGTTCCCATCTACTGGTTCACCCCCAAATACCTACAATGGCTGGGCTGGCCCAGGCCCATAGCTAAGATCTGAAAACTCAACCCAGGTCTCCCATATGAGTGGTAGGAACCCAATTACTTGACCCATCACTGTGACCTCCCAGGTGTGCGTCAGCAGGAAATGGGAGTCAGGCCCCAGAGCTAGGTATTGAACCTAGGGAGTCCCACATATGGACCCCCAGCATCTAAACCACTATGCTAAACACCCACCCCCTACCACCATTTTAAAGTTAGAAAATTCCTACAAGATTCAAAAGAACAAATTCATAGACTTGCTCCGATTGTCTTTCAATAGCACAGCAAAAAGGCCTGTGGGTTGTTCCCAAGCCGCTGCTTGAACATTACAGATCACAGAGGCCAAGGAGTTCAACCCCCTTTTACTGGGACGACCCCCTGAGAGGGCAGGCTGTGTCATGAAGGACATGCAGGAACCCAACCCATAGCAGCAGACTGGAGACTAGTACTCTCTATCCTGCCGACCTTGTGGTGCTGAGGACAGTAACCCAGAGATGGGTGCAGCTCTCCACAGGCCTGTCAGTATAGGAGCCAAGTGCACCTGAGATGAGGCCGACCCAGGCTCTTCAAATAACAGCCTTGCTGACCCCTCCAGGCAAGCCAGAGGCCACAGAGGTCACAAAACAATGCCCCAAAACAATGGAAGACCCAGGCTGCCTGGGTGACATTCTTAACCTGTTTAATTTTTATGCAAAGGTCAATACATGAAAAGGCACTATCTTAAAACCTTTTCTGGAACACATTTTGCTTAAAGAAGTCAGATAATTGGTCTTTCTTAATAGCCTGAGAATCCTTAGCCTGCTGAGTCAGCATGATACAATTGTTGACAGAAGAAATTGTGAAATTCCGAGGAAGAAGGTGGAAGGAGAGCAGTGAGCATTTGGGTGCAGGGACAACTCACCCGGAGACACAGATCTCAGACTGGGCTATGAGGGCAGGAGGCGGGTGTCCAGAAAGGCCTCTGTATAGCAATGACACCCTGCACGTGGTCAGGCTGCCTGGCTGGACCAGTCAGACCCCCAAGCCAAGAGCCAGGCAGACTCCACAAGGTGGACGTGGGAGCTCATGATGGGGCTATCCAGGATGTCTGTGGGATCTCCTAGGTGTGAGGTTGGCACTTGCATGGCTGTCCCTTCATTGCCACCCCGCCGAGAACAGCTACTGAAATCTAGATGCAGCAGTATGCATATTTTAAGTTGAATTTGGGGCTATCTCCTCATTGCTAACAGATTGTGGCTACTTAGATCTGTTACTGGGAACACAATACCAAAAGTCCCAAACCCAAACTTTATTCCAACCACATCAATCAATGGTTTTCTCTGTTTTACTGGCTTACACTTTCAGCAACAACATTCTGAGTGCCTCCATAACACCAGCCACTAGAAAACTATAAAAGGCCCTGGGAACAAAAAAAAGATAGGAAACGCTAAAAACATAGTTTTATTGATAGGCTACAGTGGAGATGAGTGGTTTCTAACCCTGAATCTCAAACCCTTCCAACAGGTGTGGCTGACTCTAAGGAAGCCAGTTAGGAAGAGCCAGAAATCCACGCCCAGCTCAGCAGAAGCACGTCACTGCCTACCGACAGCGCTCACCTTCCAACACAGCTCTGCTGTGTAATCCATTCCAGCCACCCGAGTCTCCTTCAGTGGCCAAGTGGTTCTCAGACTCCCCTGGAGAAGCTAAGGCAGCGGCCAGAGACCCGGTGCACTGAAGGAGGCGGGACGAGAGCCAGGCCTCCGCACTGCCACCAGCTTCTTCCCCAGGGGATTCTGAAGCCACCAACTCTGGAAACTCCCCAGGATAGGTTAGGAGACTGTGGGAAATCTCCCACGGCACCCTGGCTGGGCCCTCTGTAAAGGACAAAGTCCTCTCTGCCTCTCCCAGATCCACCTAAGGTCACAGAGGTCCTGGCTGCCCACACAGGGTGATCCTTCAGTCACTCATGGCAGGAAGAGCTCTCCTGCCAGAGGGACTACGCCAGATGGTGAGAGAGAACCAGGCATGCCTGGTGGAAGTTCTCCGAGCCTTGAGAGCCCCCCTCTGAAGTCGGAAGCAGCAATGGGTAGAAGGAACTTCACAGTGGCTGTCTGTATATAGGACAAGCAGCCCAAAGTCGCACCCTGACTTAGGTCTGTAAGAAACACTACTCTCTTCGGAAGACAAGGTGAAGAATCACAAATCAGGGGAATGTAGTCCATGGGTAAACTTGTCCTTTCTCCCCTGCTCACCCTGCTTCTCGTCAAACACAAGGGATGTGCATACATCCTTGCACCTTGGCACCCAAACTCTTCTGCAGACACACTGCCCACTTTCATGGAAAAGGTGCCACCATTTCAACACTGGGAATAGAGGCTTTGTGTTAAAGGAGACGGGAGCTCCGAGTGGTTCCCAGCCAGCACAGGCCCTGGTAATAACACTTACCCTTGGGAGGAGTCTTCCTTGAGTGAGTGGGAAGGAAATATCAGTTGATGACAGGGAGGAGAGTGTGGCAGGGCTGGGGAATGGTGGAGACCTTGCTCCTGACACCAGGGATTGAGAGCATTTGCCGTGTCTAGCCTTGTGTTTCTTTCTGCTACACTGGTGTTTTTTTCTCCCCAGCTCAAGACTTGAATAAATATTTTGATTTTCTGTTATTGCCGACGATTACTGCATCTTCTTATCTAACTTATGTCTTCTTTCCAAGCGAGAATATCCAGGTTTCGGTTGGATCTATTTTAAGGTGAATTAATTAACCAGCCTAATAATACATTCATATGTTTCCTTTTTCATGAAATTTTTTACTCTAAAATAGTTACAGAACACATGAAACAGAATCCCTAGTAAACCACACTGTCTTTCGGATGTGTGTTTGTCTGTTTCCTTCTTTCCCTGTTAGGGGAACCTGCCTCCTGACTACAGGATCAGCCTGATTGACATCGGCCTGGTAATCGAGTACCTCATGGGCGGCGCCTACCGCTGCAACTACACGCGCAAGCGCTTCAGGACCCTCTACCACAATCTCTTCGGGCCCAAGCGGGTGAGGCTTCTAGCAAATTCCTGGGTGCTTAGATTCAGGGTGAGGCTGCTTTGTCTCTACAAAGTGACCAGCTGTGTCTTCTACCAAATGTGTCCAACTTTTTTTAATTAAAAAAAAAAAGCAAATCAGGTGAAGAGAGAAAAATGTTTTGTCATTTGGTACAGTTTGAACAAAAAAGTTGCGCTGTGAGTGCAATTAAGAGGACAGTAATAAAATTCAAATGAATCTTATTAAGTTCAGCAGTTCTCAAAGGTTTTGGTCTTATGATCTGTTTATACTTTTAAAAGTTGTTGCAGGCTGGCGCCGCGGCTCACTAGGCTAATCCTCCGCCTTGCGGTGCCGGCACACCGGGTTCTAGTCCCAGTCGGGGTGCCAGATTCTGTCCTGGTTGCCCCTCTTCCAGGCCATCTCTCTGCTGTGGCCCGGGAGTGCAGTGGAGGATGGCCCAAGTGCTTGGGCCCTGCACCCCATGGGAGACCAGGATAAGTACCTGGCTCCTGTCATCGGATCAGCGCAGTGCACCGGCAGCAGCACACCGGCCACGGCAGCCATTGGAGGGTGAACCAACGGCAAAGGAAGACCTTTCTCTCTGTCTCTTTCTCTCACTATCCACTCTGCCTGTCAAAAAAAAAAAAAAAAAAGTTGTTGCAGACCCCAAACAGCTTTTGTCTGTGGGAATTCTGTCTATGGCTATTTAGCTTGTTAGAAGTGAATTCAAAAGGTGGGAGACTGGCTTAGCAGTTAAGATTCTGTGAACCATACTGGGCTATCTGTGTTCAGTTCCTGGCTCCGGCTCCTGACTTTAGCTTCCTGTTAAGGTAGACTCTAGAAGGCCACAGGAAATTGCTCAAGTAGGGAGACCTGGATTGAGGTGTGGCCCAGCCCTGCCATTTGGGAATGAATCAGTCTCTCTCTCTCTCTCTCCCCCCCCCCCCGCCCCCTCGCTCTCTCGCTCTCTCGCTCTCTCGCTCTCACTCTCACTCTTGCTCTCTCCCTCTCTCTTGCTCTCTCTTCCCTGCTCCCTTCCCTCCCTCTCCCTCACTCTCTCCCTTTTCTCCCTCCCTCACTGTCAAATAATAAAAAAAGAAAAGAAACTCATGGACAAGTGAGGGCTGCTTCCACTTCCAATCCAGCTTCCTGCTAATGAGTGTCTGGGAGGCAGCAAATGATGGTTCAGGTTTAGGGTTCTCTGACACGCAGATGGAGGTCCTCACTCAGTCTGGCCTTTTGCGGGCATTTAGGGAATGAACCAGTGGATGGAAAAGCAGTCTCTCTCTCTCTCTCTCTCTCTCTCTGGCACTCTGCTTTCCAAATAAATATTTTTAAAACTTAACTTTGAAACTTTAAAAATATTTGTCTGTTTTAAGGCAGTCATAGCAATCCATCATATATTAACATAAACAATATGTCTATGAACAATAAATTTTTTAAAAAAATAAATGATAAAATAGCACTGTTTTACCTTTTTGGCAACTTTCTGAAATGTCTGGCTTCATAGAGAATAGCTAGATCCTCACACCTCCTTTGGCATTCAGTCCGTTGTGAGAACTTTGGTTGAAAGGAAAGAGTATTTTGATAATCTTTATAGATAATTGGAAATATTCTGTTCTCTTTTGATGCTACCCCAAAATTGAACAAGTGGTAGCTTCTTAAAGAGGAGCTGCAATGTGAAATCTGAAAGCATTTTAATGAATGTTTCATTCTCTGCTACACTAGAATCAATTGAGCTATCTCATACCTTGTATGCATCCTAATTTGGTCATTGGAAAATCCTGATCCGTTGAGATGTCAGATCTTCCAAATGTTGACACATTTCATTTTCAGTTTCTAATCCATTTATTTATTGCATTTAATAACATCACTTCCAACCTCATCAGGAAAGTCTTTTAAGTACTGAAACACTATTAAGTTCATGGTCGGGGGGACTGAGGTACAAGTTTTTTCCAAACTTCTGATTTTATCTTGAAAGCGTGAATTTTGTCACTGGCAACAAGTGCTGTCAGTTGTTTTCCTTGAAATGATAGCCTCCAAAAATGTCTGCCAGAAGTCCAAGTCTAAACAACCATAGTTTGTCCACTAGTCATGGATGCAAGAAAAAAAGATATTTCATGAAAAAAGTGTCTATCATTCCATCCAGACAACCACAGAAGGGCAACACGGCACAGCTCAGTAGTAACAGAGGAGCTTCTGGGACATACTCTGCATTTCAGCACACAGAACAGTGAAATGACGTGCAGACAGGGTAGAGATTTAATAGAGCCAGCAAGTTTTCAGGCCTCCTCAAGGACACTCCTAAGTGAGACTTTATGTTTTCTGCAAGGGCATAACAGTGGAATCTAATAACGACTAGCAAAGTTTGGTGCCACTGTCTTTCTTCTTGCCAAGGCACCTAGTGGTTTTACTCACCTCTGCTTCTGTACCATCAGTGCAAACATTAACGCCCTGCCTCAACCCAGCAACATCTCAGTATCATTAGGAAGACAGATTGGATTTTACACAGCCTCTGAAAGGGATTTGAGGACTCTGGTAATCCACAGACAACATTTTGAGTACATAATTTTCATGATTTTTATTTTTAATAAAGCTTCCTTGTGATTATTTTATGGGATTAGCAGAGAACTTTAAAATACCAAAAGTATAAATAAGGAAAAAAAAAAACAGATTTTAAACTGATGGTTAAATGAGCATTAGAGGGGCCAGCACCATGGCTCACTTGGTTAATCCTCTGCTTGTAGTGCCGGCATCCCATATGGGCACCGGGTTCTAGTCCCGGTTGCTCCTCTTCCAGTCCTGCTCTCTGCTGTGGCCCAGGAGGGCAGTGGAGGATGGCCCAGGTGCTTGGGCCCCTGCACCCGCATGGGAGACCAGAGAGAAGCACCTGGCTCCTGGCTTCAGATCGGTGCAGCACTGGCCATAGTGGCCATCTAGGGGGTGAACCATCTGAAGGAAGACCTTTATCTCTGTCTCTCTCTCTCACTGTCTATAACTCTACCTGTCAAATAAAAAATTTATAATACATAAATAAGCATTAGAGGAACTCTAAGTGCTGTAACCTCACAATTTACTCAACTTTCCAAGATAGCACCAAACATTCTGTAATCATTGGTAGCATAGAGTTGGTACTCCTCCCCCCAGGTGTAATTTTGTATCTCCATATTAAATATAAGCAGAGTCTCTAATTTGCTGAGCTGTCTTCTCTGCCCCCACCTGTGCCTACTGTGCACATTTCCAGCATGGCCAATGCCGTTTTTTTGTTTGTTTGTTTGTTTTTGTTTGTTTGTTTTTTGACAGGAAGAGTGGACAGTGAGAGAGAGAGACAGAGATAAAGGTCTTCCTTTGCTGTTGGTTCACCCTCCAAAGGCCGCCGCGGCTGGTGCGCTGCGGCCGGCGCACCGTGCTGATCCAATGGCAGGAGCCAGGTGCTTCTCCTGGTCTCCCATGGGGTGCAGGGCCCAAGCACTTGGGCCATCCTCCACTGCACTCCCGGGCCACAGCAGAGAGCTGGCCTGGAAGAGAGGCAACCGGGACAGAATCCGGCGCCCCGACCGGGACTAGAACCCGGTGTGCCGGCACCGCAAGGCGGAGGATTAGCCTAGTGAGCCACGGCGCCGGCCCAATGCTGCTTCTTTATGTGCTGATACGTTCCATGCCATTGAGCACGTTTTGCCACTGTTGGCACATGCCCTCTGACCCACTCACCCTTGCTGTACTTGCTGCAGTGAAGGGAATGGCCATGATGAAGTGCCTAGACCCCTCTTTCTCAACAGCGTCCCAAGTCCTCAGAGAGTGGAGGTTTCTCAGAGAAATTTCTGACTTGATCTCCTTGAATGTTTCATTGCTCATCTGTCTTAGTCCACTCAAGCCCCCATAATGAAAGACTATAGGGCCGGCGCCACTAGGCTAATCCTCTGCCTTGCGGCGCCGGCACACCGGGTTCTAGTCCCAGGTCAGGGCGCTGGATTCTGTCCCGGTTGCCCCTCTTCCAGGCCAGCTCTCTGCTGTGGCCAGGGAGTGCAGTGGAGGATGGCCCAAGTGCTTGGGCCCTGCACCCCATGGGAGACCAGGAGAAGCACCTGGCTCCTGCCATTGGATCAGCACGGTGCGCCGGCCGCAGCGCACCAGCCGCGGCGGCCATTGGAGGGTGAACCAACAGCAAAAAGGAAGACCTTTCTCTCTGTCTCTCTCTCACTGTCCACTCTGCATGTAAAAAGAAAGACTATAGACAGGGTGACAGGGTGGCTGGTACACAACACAAAGTCACTGCTTCCGGTGCTGAAGGCTGAGAAGTTTCATCAAGTCAGCAGCAGACCCGGCATCTGGTGAGGGCCTGTTTCCTGGTTCAGAGACAGTGCCTGCTACCTCGTCTCACACGGGAGAACAGTGTGCGGGTTCCCACAAACCTCTTTTGTAAGGACACCATTCCCATTTATGAAAGCTCATTCCTCTGGACCTCAGCACCTCCCCCAAAGGCCCATCTCCTAACGCTATCACTTTTGGGGATTGAGACATCAACACAACTTTGAGGAGGGGCACAAACCTTCAGCCCATGGCATTCATTCAAGTACTGGATGTCACAGAGATGTCAGTCAAGCAGGATTGTTAAAGAGGGTGAAGGAAATCTTGGTCCACAGCCGACATTATAAACCCACCAGTTCTAGCCTCAGATAATCTTTATGTTTCTCTCTACTTTCCTAGTTTTCGGTGATGCACCAAAATCACCCAATCCCTAGTTCCCTAGAATTTCTGTAAATAAATGGTGTTTTGTTTAGTGACATGAAGCAAATACTATAGAGTACAATAGAGTTCTTATATTACTTGTTGAAGATACAGTAGGATTCTGTTCTTACCACTATGAAAGAAAGACCTAACTTTGTTTGCAATATTTTTTAACAGCCCAAAGCCTTGAAACTGCTGGGAATGGAGGTAAGCATTTGCTCAAATTTTTAGTGTCAATTATTCTTTTTATTACACATTTAAAAAAATAAATATGTAAGCTCATTTCAGTGGTAGAGCTTAGTGTATGATTTTAAAATAAGGAAATAAACATTGTCCAAGTGTCATGGGGGCTATGACCATAGCTTTGAAAATTCCGCCAGAAGGTTATATTAGCATTGCCAACAAAAAAAAATCCTATCTGAAATACTAACTTGAAAACCCAGGAAGCATATAAATTCCAGTAAGCAAAATCTATTCATGGGTATTTACAAAAGCCCAGAACTCCTTCACAAGTGCATCTCGTGAATGTGTGGAAACTTGAGATGGTCTGTTTCCAATCATTGTCCACGTGGCTACTGTTGTACATGCAGATGCAAGGAAAGGACACCCTTGTCCTTTTAGCAAAAAAGGCAGTGCTGGTCCTCATGTGCTATAAACAGTCCTACAAGTAGAGGAAAAACATGGACTACAGTGGAAAGGAAAAGACCTGTTAAAACCATTTTAATTAAGTATAAAACTTACATATTCCCCTAGGACTAGACCTATGCATTTATTATATTACATAGTTAGGCATGGATGAGCTTGTGAGTTCTTTTCAGAAAGGAGCTGGCCTAGTTCATTAAAGTGTTGCTCCAGAGCTGAGCCAACAGAAGATCTACAGTAATTCCCTAAAATAAACGGACTCAATTCCAACTCCTCCTCTATGTGTTTCCCTAAAACCACAGGATGATATTCCCTTGAGGCGAGGAAGAAAGACAACCAAGAAGCGGGAGGAGGAGGTGGACATTGACTTGGATGACCCTGAGATCAACCACTTCCCTTTCCCTTTCCACGAGCTGATGGTGTGGGCCGTCCTCATGAAGCGGCAGAAGATGGCCCTGTTCTTCTGGCAACATGGCGAGGAGGCCATGGCCAAAGCCCTCGTGGCCTGTAAGCTCTGCAAAGCCATGGCTCACGAGGCTTCCGAGAACGACATGGTGGATGACATTTCTCAGGAACTGAATCACAACTCCAGGTTAGCCAGCCTGGGGAGCAGGGTGGTCAGATAGACCCCAAAGACTGGAGAGTCTGAGCTGCCCAAAACTCTAAGGGGAGCAGGGTCACCCCAGTGCTGCACCCAGAGGATGAACAAAAATAATTGTGCACAGCGCTACACACAGAGGCACCTGCAGACACACAGAAGATAAAACCGCATCCTATCAGCCTACCCAGAGATGGGTCCAATTATCAAGCACTTCTTTTGGCTGTGGAAATGAGGCTCAGAGATTTGAAGTAATTTGTCCAAGGTTACACAGTTGTGGTTGGCAAGGCTGGGATTTAAACTGAGGTCGGTCACATTGAAGAAGACACCCTACATTCCTTGGTTGACTGCTTCTCCCATCCTTTGCCTTGAATGCTCTGAGTTCAGGGATCTTGGCTTGTTTGACTGACATCTCCACTTCTGAGTATGGTATCTGGCACACAGTAGATGCTTAGTGGATGTGACTAGAGGAACTTAAGCACAGACCAGACCCCATATGAAACAGTTACTCCACATCAACCGCATTTGTGACTGGCAGTGGGTGCTTGCCTTTCTCACCTAAGTCTCCCACTTGACCTGAAGGACTCTTATGCCCTTTTCCTTTCAGGGACTTTGGCCAGCTGGCAGTGGAGCTCTTGGATCAGTCCTACAAGCAGGACGAGCAGCTGGCCATGAAACTGCTGACGTATGAGTTAAAGAATTGGAGCAATGCCACGTGCCTGCAGCTCGCGGTGGCTGCCAAGCACCGTGACTTCATTGCCCACACATGCAGCCAGATGCTGCTCACCGACATGTGGATGGGCCGGCTCCGCATGCGCAAGAACTCGGGCCTCAAGGTCAGTGCACCCAAGAAGGCCCTGTTGGCTATGAGGGCCAGTGGGTTGGTTGGAGTTTGCCAAGCCAAATCTGCAATGAGATGGGGCATTATCCTAACTCCCATCAGACTCTCCTGTCTGGTGGTTTTGTGTGTGTGTGTGTGTGTGTGTATATATATATATATGGAGAGAGATATATGCACTGCAATCTCTCCCCCAACTCCCAAGTCCTGTTGAACCAGAATATCTAAACATGGGGCCTAAACAATATTTTTCAGAACACTGTGATGGTTATGCCCAGGTACCTGTGCAGTGGCATAAGCCATGCTGAACCAGGAGCCCAAACTTGGTTAGCTCTGCATGCAGTGGCAGCCTGAAGTCCCTGGCTGCTGTTCCTGGCATCATGTCATATAGACCCTGGATCTCAACAAATATGCTTGAGAAATTTTCAAATTGTCATTAAAATAGGACGCTTACATATAAAGACATTGCTCTATAATCCTAATGTACTCATAAATGAAGAAAAGCAAGTGACAGCCCAGTCTATATAACTTAAGCCCATTTTTTGAAGGTATAAATTATAGAGTTTTATCTGCATAAAATGTTTAAAAAGAAAGAAAACAGGAAGGACACAATAAATTATTTGTGGTGATTTTCTCTTCAGGGTTGAGTAGATAAGTGTTTTTAAGAGAAGTAGCATGGTGGGTAGCTTTTGCTTTCTTACAATTTTGTCAATGTTTTTCAAGGAAAATGTTGAATTGAAATAAATAAAAGGAGAGAAAAAAATGGAAGATAGAGGAAAGAATGTGGAGGGTTGGTTTTATTTTCAGTTTTGCAATTTTAGTTTCTTTTTGAAAATGGTATGTACTTACAGTGTACAACATGATATTTTAATATGCTTATACATAGTGAAATGATTGCCATAAATCAAACAAGTGAACATAACCATCATCTTGCATGGTTAATCTTGTGTGTGGGGGGGGGGGGTAAAGGTCCCGAAAGTCTACACTTATAGTAAGTTTCCTGTATACAGTATTATAACTGTCATCCTCATGCTATCCATTACATCTCCAGACTCAGTCATTGCCTGTTCTGCAGAACATCGTCACTTGGACCTACAGATGTCCATTTGCTCTCTCCCTCTGGTGACCACTGTTTTATTGGATGTCACCCCTCCCTCCCTTCCCCTTCCTGTTAACTCTGGGCCCAGAGCCACGGAAGGGGTCCATGAAGTGGTCCTGGGTGCTCCATGGCTGCACTGCTGGTGACCTTCAACCCTGCATGCAAGAGCCAAGGAGGCTTTTGCCTCTGAGGACAAGGTGTCGCATCTCAGGATGCCAGAGCCTTCCCAGGCCTGCCAGAATTCAGGGTCCCTTTTTGCTTCCTTGACTGCTCTCTGATATTTAAGCATGAGCTGTCCCTGCCTCTATCCCTGAGTTTTTCTGAGCCTTTGGTAGCTCTCTTAGGCCTTCACCTTATGTAAGTTTCCTCAGCAAAATTCATCTTCAGAAGCCTGGGTCCCAGACCCGTTGTAGGTCTGAGAGAAGAAATGGGAGAAGACTTGGGGAACACGAGTCAGGTGTCAGCTCTGTCACTGAGAAATGCACTTGTTCCCTGGTACGGGAGACACAGGTGAGGGCGATCATGCCCTCATGTCTAGGACCCTCACAGAGACAGGTGCTCACAGTGTTGGCAATGAGGCAATGGGCTGGCCCCTCCTGGGGCATTCTTGCAAGAAGATGCTCTCAACGAATACATAGCCCACTGGGATGTAGAGATGCAGGTGTGTGTGCATGCGTGTGTTTGTCGAATTACTCAAAAATGCCAGGGGAATGCTCTACAATGAATAAATGCTTTCTTATGTGAACTTTCTCAAGGTCAATTTAGGACAGAATTTTTTTTTCTTTACAGAGATAGTCGGAGAACACATAATCAACTCCACTTGACAAGTTAGCAAATAAATGCCAGTGGATTTCTCACAATCAAGTTCTGTCTAATGGCTAAATGAAAATCTTGATTCTTTCCCATTTTTGCCTTAGATATGGTCTCACTTTTTCCTCAGTTTCCCCCATGCAAAGTGGTTGTTAACTGAATAAGATGTATTTTGGCAAAATGCTGTATGTCATCAAACATTAGGCTGAGCCACAGTACTTCCCATATGGATGAAAGGACCCTCTTAGCATCAGTGTGTTTAACTATGGAGACATCTAGGTCCCTGCAGATGGCACACAACACACACACACACACACACACACACAACCAGGCTCCCTGATTTCTAAACAACCACCCTAATATTAATCCTTTGAATGTGATTATTATTATTATCATTGTTATTACTTTAGGTAATTCTGGGAATTCTACTTCCTCCTTCAATTCTCAGCTTGGAGTTCAAGAACAAAGATGACATGCCCTACATGACTCAGGCTCAGGAAATCCATCTCCAAGAGAAGGAGCCAGAAGAACCAGAGAAGCCCACGAAGGAAAAAGACGAAGAGGACATGGAACTGACAGTAAGGGAAAACTGCAGTTGTTCTCCCTAGGGAGAGTCCTTAATGCATTTGTCTCACAGATGTGAACGCAGGTGCAGTAATTGCCGACGTCAGGCAGCCCTTCCCTCGGCTCCCGCCAGGTTAAATCCTGGGGTGCTTTCTTTTGAGAATGAAGAGTGGGATATTGTAAGTGTCTCTCTGTGCACAAATAACATGACTGTAAGACTCAACTGTATGTGAACCCGTTAGCCAGCCAGTGGTGCAGGACAAACCAATGAAATCCAAAAAAAGCAAGGCACCCTACATTTTCCAAACAAAGCTTTTCTCGGCAACCAGACCATGCGGCAGTCTTTGCACACCGGGAGGGAAGGGGAATCCAGGATTGAGGAGCAGCCAGCCTCACTGAGCTGGAACCATTCTGCTGATCAGAGGCTAAGCTGGTGTCTGTCTTCAGGGTCAGGATCACAAATACAGCACTAATTGAATTTGGGGTTTTGTATGGAAGGCTTTTATTAGCTCTTCCTCGTGTAATTATAGGACATGAATGCTTTGTTCTGCAGAAAGAATGGGGCAGCTGGGCATGGGACAGCTTCCCACAAGCCCCGCCTGAACAGTGTGACTGCCGCTGGCTTGCATCCAAGAGCTAAAAATATCACACACTCTTAAAGGGACAAACAAGTTTCATAGCTCGAGAGACATTAAGCAACAATCCCATAAGGACTTTCTTGATACACTTTTCCCTCCTTCACCACCCTGGCCAGTGACCTTTGCTGAGTTGACCCAGAAGAAGCTATAAAGGGAAAAAACAAAAATTGATTTTGCTCAGGTGACAATAGACCTTTGTATTATCTTCCTAGTGGGACCACTGTGCGAATTATTTTTTCTGCAGATAAATAATCTTTCCCACCAGTAGGGCCTTCCTAAAGATCTATTAGCAGGCACAATCCCAGACTCACTGAATGAAAAGCCAACTTTTCATTGTTTGGGAATACTTATCACAGTTTCTAGAAGAGTCTGCTCACTTCTGTGATAGGATCAGAGACTGTCTTCCCTGAGATTCAACCATAGTTTTCGCCTCTGAACCCATGCACAAATAGGAAATATTTTAATCATTAGCAGAAACATTTGTAGTGATGACATCAAATCTTTATTGAACATTTTGGCAAAGGGGTAAACTGTGTGCTGTGGAGCCAGGATCCTGCCCCATTACCTACTTGCTATACAGTTCCATAACCTCTCACATGTGAATAATAACCACACTGGTTGTTGCTTGGTTTCAAAAATATGCAAGGACATTACTCAGACTGACAACTGGAACACCATAATCATTGAAAAATATCCATTTATGTTGTTATTGTAGCACTATAGTGCTATATACACTTACTATGAAATCTTCACAAAAGTCTCCTAAGGTAGGCACTACTGCTACCCCCATATTCTACCCAAAGAAGCAGGAAGTCAGGTTAATGCCCAAGGTTACCCAGAAACCTGGCTACAAAACTAGGAGTACAACCCAGATCTATAGATCCCACTGGTCATACTTTCAGCCAGTAGATTATGGGGGAGAATCTCTTCCCAGCCTCATATGTAGGTGCTCACCTGATTTGGTCCACCACACAACAGACAGAAACCAAAAGTGACGCACAGGCCTCCTAGGTCAAGTGTGGTGTGACGCTGACATCAGCACACATCCTAGGAAGGAGCCAGAAGCTGAGTCAGCATTTTCTCCAGTTAGGGAAGACAACAGAGGGAGGTAGATTCCCTGCTCGGTCCAGAGCGCTTGAGAACCTGCCCCTTCAAGAAGCCACCGTGAAAGATGCATTTCCAGACGGAGAGCAAAACCTGCTTGCCAGAGAAGAGATCCCAGCATATTTTAGTGATAACCCAAGTAAAGGACAGAGCAATCGCATTGCTGCATGAGCTTATTCTGCCCCAGCAGGCACAAGAGAGAGAAGGAAGGGGCTTGTGGGCTGGCAAACTCGAGATGGGGCAGTTGTCTCTAACGTGGAGGCTCCTTTGTCACTGATGGCAACCTGGGTCTCTGCCTGGGTACAGGTCAGTGGACTCTCTGGAGAGTGTGGCTTGGGGATACCTCCACTGCTTTCAGAGGACAATATTTGAGCTTCTGTGTTAAACCCACATATCTGGTCTCAGAATGGGACACTTTCCATTGACTCTTACAAAGCTACACATAAAGATCAACTTCCACTCACTCCATCTTCACAGGCCTGGGTAGCTTAGTTCACCTCAAAGGATCTTCCTCACCTTGACATCTGGGTCCAGACAGCCAATATCCTCAAAACCATATTGTATGGTTTTATCTCTATTTGACCCTGTTAAAGTCTGATTTAAGGAAAGTCAAAGAAAATGTTTGCTTATGGAGAAAAAAATAAACAAAATCAGCAAGTTATGCTGCCTAGGCTGGAATTAATGAAATGTCAAAAATGCTTTACTTCAATCCAAGCCTTTCACAAATGCAATCCCTCTGGAATATATCTGAATGATAAAGGCAAAAAGGTTTCTCTGATGTTGATTTTATTTTGCCTATGTTGTCTTGTAAATGTCTCCACATTGCAGTTTGCCTAATAAAGACCTAACATGAGCAATGGCAGGGCACACTAAAGTTCTCTCAGGAGAGCCAGCATCCCTCAAGGTTACCCCAAGAGGCCACTCTCCAAGATGCCTTTACTTCCATATCATTGTGCCACCAAATGGTACTATATAATCAAGCAAATAAACAAGCAGACCAAAAGCAGGATAATTGTGTTACAAAAATTCTAAGTTACAAAAGGAAAAATGCCATGGAGCTCAGAGTTTGCAGAAATCAGTCATCAATATTTATAGAGCTTTATTGCTCTCTGGTGTGCCATAGCCATCATGAAAACTGACTCAGCTCACCGATCAGAGGCCTTAGGACAAAATCTTACCTATTCATTAACTCAAAGCACCTACAAAGGAATGGAAGCTACCTTCTCCAGAAATCCTATTGGTAAATCATTTGTGAGTGTTACTTATTGGAAAAAATGGTTATTTGAGGTAGTGAACCAAACAGTTGAAACTAGGATTTGTACATTTTAGGTAAGGTGGTTTAAAACCAGAATTCTCTGATAGTTGTCTTATTCTCTTAATGTCCTATTCTCAACTTCAAGATAAACTTCAATGATTTCTATAATTAGGTTTCTCAACTTTAAACTCATATTTCCAATACTCCATCTTGTCCCAAATCCATCTCAGTTCTGAGCAATTGAAGTGTGTATTTACCAAGCACTAAGTGCCAGATGCTAGTTGATTCATAGACCAGTTCTTATAGTAAGGCCTCTTATCAACCCCCACTTAACAAGTTAAGAAGTCTCAGAGAAGTTAAAAAAAAAAAAAAAACGCTTGTCTTCAGTGCCTGAGTCTCGTTCTGTGACCTGGGACTCAGTCCCCGATCTTAGTCCCCCAAAGCGTGGAACTCTTCATCATCAGAATCTTCAGCCACATTTGGGGCATCCTGTCACTCACTACCCAGACAGGCGTGTGTCTGCCTGTTCTCAAATTCTGTCTTTTTCAGATGTTAAGTCATTACTGTTGTCATGATTGGAAAGGAAGTAATCGCATCCTTAGCGATATCTCCAAACAGCCCAGCCCAGGCTTGGCTAGAATCCTTGCCCTAGTCCCACATGCTTGCAGAGGAAGGCAGTGTACCTGGGAGTTGCCATAAAACTCATACCAGCAGGAATTTAGATTTACAAGGCTTAAATGAGGGAACCAAGGCACATGCCTAAAGGCTGAGGAGTTGGCCCTAACCTAACAAAGCTCTAGGCACTGCCCTTGACTTGCATCTTGAATATTCCCCACCTTTGGATAAAGTAGCTACTCCAGTTCAATTTGCCTTTGACCTACAAGACATTAGTATAAATAGAGACAGAATTTGAACCCAGGTCTAGTCTGTCTCAGAAAATAAGAGATAGAGAGAAAGGGGGGGAGGAGGGAGGGAGGGGAGAGAGAGAGAATTCCTTTCTTCCTCTTGGAGATCTTTCACCTACATCTTCCAGACATCTTATGGTAGACAGGAAGACAATGATCAAGAAATATCCCAACATCTTCCATCCCAGACAAGGGCTATATCCACGGATTCTGTGTGTAGTGCAAATGTATACTTAGGGGAGGTACAACATGTAAATCTGCGGAGGCCTTTCTTAGTTTCTTAGGTTCCTTCAGGTCTGAAGTTCTGTGAGCATCCTTCCCTCATCTATAAGATGAGTGCAGTAAAGGACATGCTGCCCAGAGCCCTGCCACAGTGCTCTCCTTTCTCTTCCTCTGCAGGCAATGTTGGGACGAAACAATGGAGAGTCCTCCAGGAAGAAGGATGAAGAAGAAGTTCAGAGCAGGCACCGCTTAATTCCCCTGGGCAGAAAAATTTATGAATTCTACAACGCACCTATCGTGAAGTTCTGGTTCTACACTGTAAGCTTCTTTCCTTTTCTCCTTCCTAATGGATGGCCACGAGATACCCTCTGTCCATTTTTCATGCACCTCTGTGGGTATCTCTGAGTCATAACTACCACCCACAGGAATGATGTCTCCATGACCTTGCTTTTCCAATAGTTTTGCAAGATTTGCATAGTTTGTTAGGCAGCTTCCACAGCTTCTTCACAGCACATAAAGGAAATGATAAAAGTGAAAAGTAATAGAAATAGAGGTGAGATGAATATGAGTCTAGTCTAGCAGGAAAAGAGTTGCCCCCCCTTTCCAAACTCTTTCCTGCTATGGATGGATTAGCACTAGGTCAGCATTGCTGTTTTAGATGCCCGTACTGGCTTTGAGAGTAATGACTGCAGAGGGTACAGAAGTGACACTCCTAGGAAGGGTAGCATGGGTGTATAACTACTCCCTACCTGCAAGCAGCAGTAGACCACCTTCCTTGCTCTGACCCACTAAACAACACACAAACCAAAGCAGTGGCAGATACTCAAAACAACTTACCAATACAGCCAGTATTGTGCAGTGTGCACACTCTACAAACATTTTCTGTCTGCAAATGATGGGTTGACCCTGAAATATCTTCCTGATATGACAGAAAGGGCTCAAGTGCTTGCTTTCCACTTCTATTCTTCAATGATATTTGCTGTTTAAGGTGAGCTTTGGGCCCAGGTCACCTTCCATCCCCTCGAGCCATGGGGGAATTGTGCCAGGCAGATCGTGCATCTGTATTTTTAGCCTTTTTCACAACAAACTGTGCAGCAGTCATTTGAGGCAGCCACAGGACCATCGGATCTGAGGCCAAGATAACTCAAATTACCAGATGAGGTGCATTTTGTGTGGTCCTCCAGGCTAACACTTGACACTGGCTTAAAAGCAAGGTTTCGCAACACCAGCACTTTGGACAGGACAATTCTTTGCATGTGACTGTCACCTACATGTAGCGCATTCAGCAGTACCCCTGCCCCTATCACAAGATGCCAGTAGCACTCTCTCCCCCACAAGTTTAACAACCAAAGTGTCCCAAATACTGCCAAGTGTCCCCTTGGAGAATACAATTTCTACCAGTTGAAAACTACCTCTTTAAAGTATTGATCACATTATACAGTGTGTAACTGTACACATGTATTGAAATGGAACACTGTGCCATACAACTGGCACCTTCCCACTTTCAAATATATTATAAAAACAAATAGTAATAATAAAGTATGGTCCTGAAAGGAGATAGGGTATTTCCATAATACAAGTTTTTTCACTGAAGTGTAATTAAAATCTATCAATTAGAAAAAGAAAAAAAATTTTCTCTTCCCTCCCCAAAACAACTAAAGCATGCAAAAATCACTTCTCTTTGTAGATTCATACAGATCTATATTACTTTTACTTTACAGAAAACACCTTAGTAGCAGCAAGCATGAACTTTGGAACCAGACAGGTTAGGTTGTTCTGAGCCCATCTGAGCCTTACTATTGTGTGCCTTCCAGCCAGTTACTCTCCCATGCTGTCCCCAGTTAGCTCAAAGTAGGGATAATAAGTGCCTACTTTGTAGACTTCAGTGAAAATTAAATATGTTAAAACATGTAAGGCACTCAGGACAGTGCCTGAACATGTCAACACTGTGTAGCTACAACTGCTTTCCTGGGCTAGTTACACTGCACAGTAATAATCAGCGTCATATTCATCCATCAACTCAACAACATCATGTATTGAGCACCCAATAATATTGGAAGGAATATTCTCCCTAATCCTAACATCAAGTTTATCAGGATAACATTTGTAATGCCATTTTACACCAGGGCCAGACCTTTCATGCTACAACGCTTTGATTGTCTCAACCTGGAATAGGTCTTAGCAAACTCCAGCCTACTGCCTGTTATTGTAGCCTGCAAACTAAGAATTTTACATTTTTTACATTTTTTAAAGGATTGAAATAAAATCTTTTAAAAGTATACTTTATGACACATGAATGTTACATAAAATTCAAATTTCAGTGCCCATAAATAAAGTTTTATTGGCTCACAGCCAAACTCATTTGTTTCCCCATAGTCCAGCTGCTTGCTTTTATGCTACTACAGTAGAGTTGATTCACAGCTATAGGGACCATCTGGCTCGTGAAGCCTTAAAAATAAAGCAGAGCCCTGGCACAATAAGTTTGCAGAGCATAAAAGAAACCAGAAGTCATGGTTCCAAGAACTGGCACTTGTATGAATGGAGAACTCACCTCTGTCATCCTTCAAAGGCATCCCTGTTTTCATTCCAGCTCTGAGTTCGGTGTCATAGTAATGGTGTCTCCCTTGCGGCCCCTAACTCCCCATTTACTTATCTGAGGCAATGGGTAGCCGAGAACAGCCTTAAATCCCAACTTCACTCTGTAGCCAGTCATTCTCAGCCTTGCCACACACTGGAATAACATGGGGAGATTGAAGTAGCGCACTAACACCTGGGTGGCACTTCCAGGGGGTTAGTGTCCTGGGTGTGGGGTCCAGCCACTGGTGTTGTTTCTAGCAAAGCTGTCCAGGTGACTGTAATGAGCAGTCAGGGAGGGAACCACCACTCTAGATAGTGTTCAACTTTTTAGCCCAATATTTTTAATACTTCTATGATGATAAGGAGTTGTATTGGTAGTGAAAATTCCTGGCCCCATCATAGATCCAGGGAATCAAACCTCCAGGAAGGAGCCTGAGAAGACTTTGTGTTGAACAAGCTCCCAGGTGAGTCCAATGATTAGAGAAGCTTGGGACACACTGCTCTGCTTACATAGTTTGCAGCAGGTGAAATGATGCTCAGGTATCCATGTTCATGTATCAACAAGGTTCAGGCTTCAAGGAAGTGGAATGGAGGTGAGGTGTGTCAGTGTTTGAAATCCCCAGTGATGCATAATAAAATTCAAGTTTAGGATGAAGATCCCATGTGCTCTGGGTCTTATTCTTCTCTGTGTTTCTGATCCTGATACCCTACAATGCCCCCTTTCTCTTGCAAGGTTCCAAAAGGCAGTACACGTCTTCCATTTCATACAATCTCATCTCTTCATCTTAGCAAGTTTCCCAGGGAACAGGTTGGGTCCTTTTTGTTCCAAGAAGAAGGCGGCAGGAAGCCAATTGGCTCCCACACCCTGCTTCTGTTGAGAGCTGCTTTCAAGTGTCCAGCTGGAGAGGATTCAGACTCAAGGTGCGCAGAGGCCACAGGTCAGAGGACACAGCGTGCACCCTGGGTCTCCCCAGCAGTGACAGACTCTTCTCTCTGTAAGACCATCTGCCCCCTTTTCTCTCCCGAGGTAGCAGAAGGCCTGGGAAGAAGTCAGGAATAGCATGGCCCCACCAGGGATCCACAGCAAACTGTGGCAGGCTTTGGTCCTTGTGTTTGATAGTTTAAGAAACATGCATCTTGGTTAATGGAAACTGTAAAAAAGAACACATAAGCAAATAAAACACAAATTATTATAGGATGCCCACTGACTAAATTAAGAATCAAGGTTATATTTCTGTTCAAAAGCTTTGATGTTCTACACATAGCTTGTTAAAACTTATAGAATACATATACACATATGCACAAAAGGGGTCTTCAAAAGTTCATGGAAAATGTGTATTATGAAAAAAACTATGCATGAATTTTAAATTCTTTTGCCTCAAAATAAGCTACTAATTCCATTTTCCCTGGAATATTTGAATTAGCATCTTACACATACACACATAACATATGTTGTGTGAAGATAATCTGCAATGAGGCTGCATGAATGTTGGTAAATGCTAAAATAGGTCACTTCAAGGACAACAGCCAGTCGTCTATTGTGCCATTTAAACATAGTTAATGCTCTATTTCCAGATGTCTATATTTCGGGATTGTAGCTTGACTATGGGAAAAGTTCACTTTATAGTAACTGATTTCAAGGACAGGAGCTAAAATGGATGAAAGTGGTGGAAACAAACAATAATGAAGACAAAAAGAGGAGAGGTATGAACAGTTCATGGGGGATCAAAGGGAAACAGGACAGAAGTAAGAGGGATAAAAAGAATAACAGAGGGCCCAGCGCTGTGGCGTGGTAGGCTAGGCCTCCACCTGTAGTGCCGGCATCCCGTATGGGCACAAGTTCAAGTTTCAGCTACTCCACTTCTGACCCATGTTTCTGCTGTGGCATGAGAAAGCAGTGGAAGATGGTCCAAGTTCTTGGGCCCCTGCACACATGTGGGAGACTTGGAAGAAGATCCTGGCTCCTGGCTGTGGATCAGCCATCTGGGAAGTGAACCAGTGGATGGAAGACCTTTCTCTCTGCCTCTCCCTCTGTCTGTAACTCTACCTCTCAAATAAATAAAGAGAATCTTTAAAAAAAAAAAAAGAGGAATAGAAGAAGCATCTTGAAAAAAAGAGGTTGACTATTATTAGCCAACATTCATTGGGCCTCTACAATGGGTTAGGAGAGATAGATAATGATTGATAGATAGGCAGACACATGGAGGGAGATGGCTCATTAGATAGAAGATAGACATAGATAGAAACAGACAAATGATAGCTAGGGATCAGTAGAAAGATAAGATGATTGATGGATAAACAGATGATAGATTGATAGATAGATATAGACAGCTAGATGACTGATAGCTGATAGGCAGGATGGATAGATGATAGATTAGATAGATAGATAGATGAACAGAGAGAGAGAGAGATACATCCCAAATTCTTCCAAAGGCCCTATGGGGTAAGTAGCGATGATCTCTGCAGTGTGCAGGGACAGATTTAAGTGACCACAGGATGACACAGCTAGTATGTACATGAGCCTGGATTTAAATCCAAGTTTCTTTTCTTTTCTTTTTTTTTTTTTTTTTTGGACAGGCAGAGTTAGACAGTGAGAGAGAGAGACAGAGAGAAAGGTCTTCCTTCCATTGGTTCACCCACTCAAATGGCCGCTATGGCCAGCGCACTGCACTGATGCAAAGCCAGGAGCCAGGTGCTTCCTCCTGGTCTCCCATGTGGGTGCAGGACCCAAGCACTTGGGCCATTCTCCACTGCCTTCCCAGGCCACAGCAGAGAGCTGGACTGGAAGAGGAGCAACCGGGACTAGAACCCGGTGCCCATATGGGGTGCCAGCACCGCAGGCGGAGGATTAACCAAGTGAACCATGGCACCAGCCCCTAAATCCAAGTTTCACTGACCTCTATGCCTGCCTCCCTTCCAGCCACACAAGGCATGTATTCAGAGGATAGCCATCAGGTTAGAGGACTTGTGCACTGAAGTGCAGAGGAATTGTGTGTCACTGAGACTACAGGTGACAAGATAATGCTTTGGAGTGTTTTGCAGTTAACTGGGTCAAGTGATAAAAACCCAGCAGTTAACAAGATTCATAACAGATGGACATTGTGTCACAAAAGATGAAGCCTCCCCTTGGGAAGTCCACATCCCATTCCAGAGTGCCTGGTAGTTCAGGTCCCAGCTACTCTGCTTCTGATCCAGCTCCTTGCTAATGCACCTGGGAGGCAGCCAGTAATGACGCAAGTACTTGGGCTCCAGCCATTCACATAGGAGACCTGGATGGAGTTCTGGGCTTCTGGCTTGGGCCTGGCCCAACCCTAGCTCTTAGAGTCATTTGCTAGTGAACCAGGGGATGCAAGATATCTGCTCTCCCTGCTCCATGCTTGCCCCCTCCTTCTGTCACTCTGCCTGGCAAACCTAAATACATGAGTATACTTTAAAAAGAGATTTATTTCCCCCTTGAAGCAATGGAATTTGATCCAACAAAGAGAAAGAAACAATGAGGAAGAGAGAAGGTCTCCAAATCAGAAGGAGGCAGAGAGTGTATTTTAGAGTTGGAACCACTGATTTTATTTATTTATTTTTTTGCATTTTATAAAGCGCAATACTCACAGTGACTAGAGGGTAAATGCAGCATATTATAATGGTAAAAAGAAAACATATGGACCAAGTCATATTTTGAACTGATTTTTTAATCTATTTATTTGAAAGGCAGAGTTAGAGAGAGAGAAAGAGAATCTTTCATCCATTGGTTCGCTCCCCAAATGGCTGTAACAGGCAGGGCTGGGCCAGGCCAAAATTAGGAGCCAGAAACTTCCTCTGAGTCTCCCATATGGGTGTCAGGGGTCAAAGCACTCGGATCATCTTCTGCTGCTTTCTCAGGTACATTAGCAGGGAGCTGGGTCAGCGGTGGAGCATCCAGGACTTAAATTGGGGCCCAGATGACAGTACCAGTGGTGGCTTAACCAGCTGCACCACAACACCAGCCCCCTGAACTGATTTTTACACAATGCCCTACATGATTGTATGTGAAGTCTTTCAGGAGAAGTTTTCACGATGTGTTCATGATCTTGAAGGTAGATTTCATGGATTGAAATGACAGTGGGCAGGGAGTGTGCAAGGGAAAAGCACTCAGGTGGAGTGGCAGCCCCACCCTCAGCGTCTGTATAACTTCGCTGTAGTGATCTTCCTGCTTGCGAATGCAATCCATGCTCTCATTGAACTCTGATGGATTTTTATCCTTTAAGAGATGACAGAATTATTTGCCACAGTTGTATGCAAATGAGGTCTCAGAAATAACTTTGACTCATATTAACAATCTATTAATCACTTATAAAAAAGGCGAGGGAGAGAGGAAGAAAGGGAAGAAAGAAAGGAGGGCAGGGCAGAGGGAGGGAGGGAGAGAAGGAGCCCCACTAGTAGAGCGAGCAGTACCCCTAAGGATCTCCCAGTTAGGCTGCAGCTTCCGCCACCTTCTAAGCTTCCTCCACAGCCTGGAAATCACACAGTATCTCCAGAACCCTCGAGACCGCCACCCTTTTGCCCACACTGTGTCCTGTTCTTTGCTCTGCCTGTTCTGCCTCCTTGGAGTGCAGAATATTCAAGCAGACTCTGAGCCCTGCTCACACTCCTGAGTCCCCTAAGGCCAGCAGCTTGAGGCACTGCCTAGAGTTGGACTTGTCTGCCATTTCCCTTCGGGTGCATTTTCTTACATAAAAGCCCTACCAGATTTCCTACTGAGCTTGACCAGATGGAATCTTCCAGTAACAGGCACCAAACCTGAACCCCGAGGGGTTTCTCACAGACATCAGCCAGTCAGCACAATTCAACCTCAAGGTGCTAGAGCCTCGTGGGAATTAAATCCCACTGCAGTCCATGCTGGGCCACACAGGTCCATTCCTTTGTATCAGTTGTCCTGTCTCTGGAATATTCCAGTTGGGGTAAGTGGTACCTTGCAAAAGAGGAACACCCTCCCAGGTCACGGGCAAGCCAGGCACTTCCAGGTGGGAGAAGAGGGAAGAAGACATTAACTCAGAAGTGAACTGGGCTTTGAGATGACACTGAGCTGCTCCTGTGCAGGCCTGACCAATTCCCAGGCATCACATGTATCTTCTTTCCCTCCTCACAGACATTTAATCTGCAAAAAATTCACTGGGCCGCCCAGTTCCGGACCTAAAGTGCATGCAGGAGCAAGAGCAGCCCCTGACACACGAGGGTCTCTTTTCAGCCAGGAAGACACAGGCAGCTGGGTCACTATGAAATCAAACGCTGCATCGCTGCATCGTGACACCTGGGTGCAAAGTCCTGGGGCCTCAGGAGCAGGGCGGCGGGGAAGGGGGCAACTGCCTTGCAAGTGATTTCCAGTACTGCTGTCTCTGTAAAAACCACTTGATAGGTTAGAGCTCCCATTTCGTGGTGAACGCCGTGTCCCGCCCGCTGCCCCTGTGCGGCGGCCTTGCCCTGGGCCAGGGCTGCTGGGCCTCTGCAGACAGAGCACGTGTTGTGTTTCCTTGCAGCTGGCGTACATCGGCTACCTGATGCTCTTCAACTACATCGTGCTAGTGAAGATGGAGCGCTGGCCTTCCACGCAGGAGTGGATCGTCATCTCCTACATTTTCACCCTGGGCATCGAGAAGATGAGAGAGGTAACAGCTTTCAGGAAAGGAAACCTGAGAGAAAGCTGCTGTGTGGCTACATCTGTGGATGAAGGGGGGACCAGGGCATCGGGGATCCTAATTAAGCCAGAAATTCCCTTCTCTGGTGCTGCTACAGGGCTGCTTCGTCCCCCCTTTGACAAGCCTGCAAGGGGGACATTTTTATAAAGTTGTCGGCTGATGAGTGCTGAGGATTTAGCCTATTTTCTGGGAATGTAACTACTGCCCCGAGCAACCCTCCAGTTTTGTTCAACACAATTCACATGCCTCTTCGGTCATCCCTATAAATGTGACTTTTTAAACGTTGCCACTTTCAATGCCCATTTCAACTCCTTACCCAGGGTCGCTGAATGCAGCCGTAATTCTCCAAATGTGTTTCAGCAACTTTAAGAGGTTCTCTGCTTGTGTGTATTGGTTTGATCCATCTCTGCTCTCCTCCCTCTCAACATTTACCATGCACCTGCTGGGTAGCAGCCACTGCACCAGCCCCAGGGGTCACAATGTGAAGCAAACACACTTGTAGCCCCTCCAGTTGGAGATACAGGGTCCACTTTGCTCCTGCCCAATCCCTATGGCTTACAAGAAACCATTAAAATGCCACCCCCATTCGATTTATGTGAAATCAAAGCCACCCTCCCAGACAACACTATTATTCAGTGCTATGAATAAATGAGCTATCAGGCCATGGGAAGACATGAGAACCCTTAGATGCAAATTACTAAGACAAAGAAGCCAGTGTAAAAAGGCTGCGTGCAGTTAGATTCCATAGCACATCCCGGAAAAAGCAAACTATGGAGACGGTTTAGGAGGGGCGAAAGATGTACTGGCAGAGCACAGAAGGTTTTTAGGGCAGGGAAAATGTGTGAGAGACGATACGAGTGGGTCCAGGTCACCATGCATTTGTCCAAACGTATGGAGCACACAGCATCAAGAGTGAACCCCAGGTGCAGTATGGACCCTGGGTGATGATTGATGTGTCAGCATGAGTTCGGCAGGGGTGACCCAGGCACTACTCTGGCGGCGGACATTAGTAATGGCGCCGGCGATGCAGGGGGGCGTACGGGCAATCGTTGTGCTGTCCTCTTAGGAAAAAAGAGGAAGAAGCAGTAGCTCTCCTAGGGCCTTCAGAGCCAGTGACACGGTTGTGATCAAGGCCGCGTCCACCAGAGGGCGCTGCAACCCCGCTCGACCCTCTCCACACACCTGAGAAAACCGCTGGGGGAGGCGGGAGTTTCCCTAGAACCGCAGTCAGTAGGAGGCGGCTTCTCCGCAGAAACCGCTGCGTGGCGCGTCGCCTGCGCCCTGCGGAGCGCAGGAACAAGCCCACTCGCCGTCCTTACAGAGTGGGAAAGTCGGTTAGGCGCCCCAGGGGGGCGGGGGAGGCTGCTACAAATCCACCGTGCCCTGGGCTGTGTTGTGAAGAAGAGTTAAAAAGTCCTTGCCGCCTTGGGGTCGAACTCTAGAACATTCTCCAGCAGGGAGTGCTGGAGCTGCAAGAAGACTCTTCCTTGTACCGAGACCCCGTCTCATGGCGGTTCGGTTTTGTCTTGTTACTCTGGGGGTTGTTATAACCGCGAGTCCTGGCTAGGGAGAGAGTACACGCCAGGCCCCCTTGGGAAGGGCCTGGATTTAAATACCGAACAACAGAAGGCCCTGCCTCGGTCCGGCTGCTTGTCTAGGTTCGGTTCGTCCCATTCACGGAGCCGGCTGCCTCTCGACGGGCGCTGTGGGTTTCCTGTTTATAAACCGAAGCCCGGTCCTGAACTCGGTTCGCCGGGAACTGAGGCTGCTCCTGCGAGCGGCCCTGCGGCGGTGCCGGGCCCGCTGGCGCGCGCGTGAGGGAACGCCCAGGCGCGCATTCCGCCTCCGCCCCCGCCTCCGTGCGGAGCAGCGAAGGCCAGGGCTGGCGCGGGGCGCCTGGAGCCTCTCCAGGGACGGGGCTGGAAGAAGACAGGGAGCAGCCTGTCCTCCGCGGGCTGTTCTGCGGCGGGCTGCCAGGAACCTCCGGGCCCGAGATCGCGAGCCGCCAGGCGGCCCTCAGCGCTGGGCAGGGCCGGGCTTCCCGGGCTGGGGTCAGCAGGCGGGCAGCGGAAGCTGGGAGTGGGGGTGGGCGGGAGGGGGCACCTCGGGCCTCAGCTTTGCTGCGTCCCTGCCATCCGCACACGCGAGGTCCCCGCAACGCGGAAGAGCTCCAGACACACAAAGACGCCTTTGTGGCTGCCCTCGCACTCCCAGCACAGACTTCCGCCCCGAGTCACCACCCCAGCCCCAGGACCCGGGCTGCGGGCTGCGGCGTCTCGTCCCCAGCCCACGGTGAGCCTGTGACGCCAGGCCCACTTCCCAGGGCTGCGGCGAGTCTTCTGTACCCACGGCCTAGCGCAGAGAGGCAGGTTCAAACCCCGAGGGACCCAGCTCAGACCCATTCCCCTTCCTGCTCCCCTGTGAGGCTCCTCCGGGTCCCAGGGTGCTGGCCCTGGCCTGAGAGGGGCAGAGGAGGGTGAAGAGACAGACTCCCGACTCCTCCCTTCCGCTTCTGCTTGGCTTCGCTGGTCTTATTTTGTTTTGAATGCAGGGACTTCACTACAGAAAGCCACTACTGAAAGACGGCTCTACTGGGCACTGTGGTTGGCAGCTTCAGGTGTAAAGAAAGGGTTAGGAAAGCTCCATGGCCCTACCACCCCCTCCCTGCTCACAGTGGAGTTTTGCCTCATTAAGGTGGAGGAGGGAGGGAGTGGGGAGAGCCACCGGGAAGAGAGCAGCTGCAGGGACTGCTGATGTGGTAGGCCGGAGGGTCCCCAACGGTGGGCACAGCATAACCTGCCTACTGCTTAGGAAGCTGAGCCCCCGTCCCCACCCAGGCCAGTGGATGGAGGCGGAGACACCGGGCCCCATCAGCCAGCCCTCCTAGGGATTCTCAAGCCTCCGAAGTTGAAGAAATCCTGGCCTGGGCCTTAGCCAGGGGACCAGAGGACGAGAACGAGGCAGCCAGATGGCTCCTGGCACCGTGTTCACTCTTCACGCCCCAGCCTGACTTACTGATACCCCCACCCCCTTTACTATTTCAGCCCCGCGTTTCAGTCATTACAGGAGCCATAAGGGTTGAAAACCGACTGCCGAAAGAGCTGTCCCAAGCCTTTTCTCTCTGCTCCTGTGTCACCCATCTCCAGAGCCGGGGAAATGGATGACAGCCATGCCTTATGGGAACCTCAGAGCTGCACACCGGGCATTGGAGAAGGTGGACCTGGGGCACAGCCTCACTAAGCTATGCTCCTGGCCCCTCGCCTCCTGGGATGGACCATGGGTGTACGTGGGTGTACAACCCCAGCTGGCTAGCTGTGCAGGTCCTAGAGCTTTGTGTGGCTTGATTTATCTCTAGGTCTAAGGTAAACCAGAACTGCCATCCAGCCGTCAGTAGGTGTCTGGTAACTGTGCAACAGTCAGTACTTATTGAGCGTCAGTTATGAAACAGGCCCAGGATGCAAAGGATCTGCCCTCAAAGTTTATAATCCAGTGACTATGGAAGGAAGGAAGAAACATACTCATATATACCTACATATACATACCCCATAAAGCTCGTGGAAATGCATATTATGAAAAAACTACACAAGAATTTCCAACCTTCTTGCACCAAAATAAACTACTTTTAAATTCCATTTTCCATAAATACTTTGAAGTACCCTCATACACATAACAGAAGGCAATTTCCTATAGTGATCCAGACTTCAAAAATTAAAGAAATAGAAGTGGTACAGAGTGACTGGGGGCCATGGGGGCTACTGCAGCCAACATGGCCAAAGAAGGGCATGTTAGGGTAAGAAGGAGCCAAGCTCAAAACTCTGGATGAAGAAAGTGCAAGTGGTCTGAGCCGAGGGCAGAAGACTCGTTATGCTTAAGGGCAGGCTTCTGTGGCTGCAGGGCAGAGCAGGGATGGTGGGGCGTGAAATGGGACCATGGGAAGGAGTTTGGAGTCTCTCTGTTCCTAACAGAAGCTGACAGGGAGTCTCAGTATGCAATCATCATTTGCTTTAGTTTCTGTTGTTCACTTGCCTCTCGGGTCTCTCCCTTTTTTTTTTTTTTAATTGAAGTATAATTTACCTGTAATGAACAATTTCTACAGAGACAGTTTGATGAGTCTTTACCTACACATGCAACCTCGTGATCACCATTCAGATGGTGGCATGGGTTTGTAAAGATCACTCCCTCTGCTTCTCGAAAGTGGACTGAAGGCAGCGGGCGATAATGATGTCAGGGTGGCAGTGAAAAGGCTGTGGGATCCGATGGGGTTCAGAATAGGGGGTGGCAGTGGAGGTGGCGAGAAGTGCTGGGTTTGCTAGTGTTTAATCGAGGTGATGGTGTTGTTGGTACAGAGGATGAGGGGTGTGAAAGAGAGGAAGGAAGGAGGGCTCTAGGTGAGTGTTCTGAGTAGCTCAGTGTGGCAGCCCTGCTGCCTGAAATGGCAGATTTTTGAGAAGATGTGCAGCATATTGGGAATCCATAGTTTCACAGCAAAAACCTCAGTCTATATCTTGGACTTGTAAGCCAGTGCAGAGAGTCAAACTAGGTGCTAATGTCTGCCTCCGAATATTTGCCCCTGGATCACCTTAGCTTAGCTTCATCATCCATTCACAGCATGCAGGTGTTCAAGTAGGCAAGCTCCAGATGTCAGCCACCAGCCCGGACACTCTGCGACGGGGCCGAACATAGAGACAGAGAGAAGTAAGCCCGTTCTCTCTTGTGCCCTGTAGATCCTGATGTCCGAGCCAGGGAAGCTGCTACAGAAGGTGAAGGTGTGGCTGCAGGAGTACTGGAACGTCACAGACCTCATCGCCATCCTCCTGTTCTCCGTCGGGATGATCCTACGTCTGCAAGACCAGCCCTTCAGGAGCGATGGGAGGGTCATCTACTGTGTGAACATCATCTATTGGTACATCCGTTTGCTGGACATCTTCGGCGTGAACAAGTACCTGGGCCCCTATGTAATGATGATTGGAAAAATGGTAAGCACAGTCCTCTGGTTCCATGGTATCAGTTCCTAGGGGAGGAGGAGGGGGAGGAGATTAGGAGGAACTAATAAACCTGGGCCTGCTGTCCAAATCTACATAATTGGACACCCTGGGGATGTTGTGTGTTCTCAATGCCTTTTGAGTGTTTAGGAGTTTGGCTGCATCTGTTTACAAAAATTGGAGAGTTTAATCATCAGTTACCCATTCACTTACAGAAGAAAGATAAAGATCACCTCTTTTGTGCCAGGCACTGACTAGACGCTGAGTGCAGAGTACACACAAATGCTCTTTCCACGAGTTTGAAATGGAGAGAGAGAGAGAAGTAATTACCATGCGCTGTGAGAGTGCTGTGAGACAGGTGTGTGTAGAGGAGCTTAGGTAGACAGGCTTCGTACAGAGGCTCCATTTCGGTGGCTCTTACAGGAGGAATGGATCTTCATTACATATTGCAACAGATTTTTAGGACTTTTTAAAAATTTTGTAAAAGAAAAAAAAGTGCTAGAAAAATGCCTTTCCCTACACAAAGGGAGGAAAAACAGTCTATTTCGGTTGAGCTGAGCTGAGCTGTGTTAGGTTGAGTTGGAAGTGAACACTACGTTCTACCACACATCATGTGTTTTGTCACACTGCTGCAAGAAGATGTCTGTTAGGAACTAGGATCCAGAATGGTGCTCCTACTTACTTCAGTCTCCAAAAATAGTCCCAAGGGGGCATGTAATACGCTTCCCCACAAATGGCCAACGATTCATTCCAGTGCTTCTTGACCACACACCAGCTTCCAGACTTTCTCCACAAAGGCCAAAGCCTTCTGAGGACAGCACAAATTTTTATTTCTGAGGAAATGCACAAATAAATCAGCTCCCTCTCCAGACTCACTAGAGGAAGAAACAGAGCCCATGGCCCCAGACACTACATATTTTTCATGAGTTGGCCCTCTTTTCTAAGCGTGTCCCCTGTTTAACCTTCATAGGACATGTGTGGAAAAGCTAAGTGCATCCATTCTATCGTGGCCAATACCTCTTAATGAGAAGCCTCTTTGCTAAAAACCATCACTTCACTTCCATTGTATAAGCTGTTGAAACCAACAATTGGTCAAGAGATGTCCTTTTTGACTCAAGTTTTGCAATGCACACCATTGACCATTCAATGTTTATGAAACATGTGTGTGGGTGGATGTGTGAGTCTACTGAAATGAATTTTCCTCAGAACTCTTCCTGTGAAAGTTCTGATATACTCACACAAAAAGAAGAGTTTGAATTCAAACGTAATTAGGTGTGACACCGAGCAATTTATTTAACCTCTTTGAGTCTCAGTTTTTCATTTCTAAATCATTAATGAATGATAAATACATAACTTGTAGGGTTGTTGTGATTAGACATAACTTATTAAATGGTCAACAGAGTCTGGCTCAGAGTTTGAAACTTGACAGATTGTACCCCTTATCATTAAATTCATATTGTGTTTTTCCAAGTACATCAAAGAAGAAAAGATTTCCTCATAGTTATTCTGTTGAGGGAAAAGTCTCACCAAACCCATTCTAGAGAGGGAAAATTTGAATTCACATGCTTGAACCACTCACCCAAAACTGAACTACAGTTCAATTGGGAAAATTTTTGACTAGAAAAAAAAACTGTGTATCTTATTCTATTATATGCCTGTTGTAAAATTATCTTCTTTGTATTTTAACCATGAATTTGATATTGTGGTGAAAATTCCTATGTCTAAAAGCAGAGAGTCTCAACATTGAGTCTATGGATGGAGCTTAAGTGAGAGGAACTGTGGGACTCCCCTGTTCCCCAATTTATAGATAAAAATATGTGGAGGGATGAATTTTCTGGACCAGGAAGGCAAGTTTTTGTGAACTTCTCAAATGGATCCCATGCAAATGAAGAACTATAACAGCTGTAGAATTAGGCCAAATCTTCTCAACCATGACACTGTTGATATTCAGGACTGAGAAACTCTTTGTTTTAGGTCCTGTGCACCACAGGGCGATGAGCACCTGCCCTGCCCTCTGCTCACTAGACACTGTATAGTGTATGCAAACACACGTACACACACACACACACACACACACACAGCGTTATGACAACAACGAAGAGGTCTCCAAAAACTGCCACATGTCCCATAGGGACAAAATCACCCTATGTTAAGAAGCATTGTGTTACATGATTACATAATCAGACTGGTTGTTTTTTGATCGTTACCTTATCTTATTTCAACAAATAAAATCTGAAAAGAGCCATACAAACAAAATACATTAATTTTAAAAGTCTTGGTGACATTTAAATACTTGCTGTAACTGAAGTCACTCTAATGCAGCAAAATTATTCTAAGATCCACGCCTATCATTTTAATAATGGCATAATTATCTCCAGTTTTGACTGGAATGAATTCTTACTAAGGAATGAGCAGAGGGATGTGCTGCATTTTCTCTGCCTTCTAACTTATGAATGACTTCATCTACCAGTCAAGAATAAGTAGAAAATGAGTATATTTGGTGATTTTGCTTTTCTTTCATGTTTTTTTTTTTAAAGATAAGTAGGTCTATAAGGGAGTTACTGATCCAGAAGGTGGGTAAAATATGCCTGTACAATTTATCTGTGAGCCAGACAGGCTGCCAGGCTGGAAGCATAACAAAGTATGCCCAGATGTGTTTCTATTGAAAGCCCCTCAACACTAGGGAATCCTTATTCAGTACTGAACAGCCAGGTAACTCACCATGCCCTGTGGCCTAGGGGCAGGCAGCTGATCTGATTGCTGGGCACCCAGTGATCATCAGAAGACCCTTTGGAAAGTGGTTCTCTGAGTCTTTGCATTGTATTAGAAACCAGTGTGCTTGTGCCTCACAGCCTGGAACACCTGCTATCAAGTATGACCCAGTGCATCTGCAGGTCCAGGATTACTTAAACCAAATCCTGCCCCTTTCCATAGCAAGCCACTGCTCAATGGAATTCTCTAAACCTAGTACAAGGCTCATGTTTACAATGCAAAAAAAAAAAAAAAAAGCAATCACAATAGCTGACATGTTTAGGATGTGCCAGATACCATATCAGATATGTCAATGTTATACCTTCATGAAATAGGTTCTAGTATCTGCATTTTAACAAATAAACTGAGATGAAGCAAGGGACAATAACAAGATTCCTGTCTATCTAACCCTACAGCCTGACCTCCTTCCAACTCTAGTAATAATAATACGTTAATATTTACTGAGAACCCACCCACTAAATGTTTTGCATGTTATCTCAATACTTACAAAATACACATTATTGTTGTTACTATTATCCTCATTTAAAAGTACAAACAAAAGATCAAGTAACTTGCCCAAGGCCTCATAGCTATGTTTCTTTTTGTTGTTACAGCCAGGTCTATAAGGGAGTTTTATTTTATTTTATTTTACTATTTTATTATTTTATGTAGTTATCTTTACTTTTTTGTGAGTGTTTTTCGGGCTATTTTTACTAGCAAAGCAAAGATGAAAGCCCAGGTAGGCTGACCCCTGAGAACACATGCTTAAATGCTTAACCATTATAGAATATATGCTATTCTAGAGAACATCACTGAAAGATATTTACAAGAACAGGTCACAATCTTAATATTGAAGCAGCTGAACAATTTAGCTCTAAAAACAGAGGAAACCAGCCCCAGCTCTCACTATAATGCTCTACTTCTGCACCCTGTCAACTTTCAGTATTTGTATGGGAGCTTAGGTTTCTTTGAAATAGATGAAGCTGAGAGTTCAGGAAGAATATTTCTTCCCTGGGATTGCTTTAGCCCTGTGGATAGATATCACGATCAATTTGAATGAAAACAATTCTGAGAAAGTAAATTAGAACATTTCTGCATTTGCTGGCTGAGTTTTCTTGCATCAAACTAGCCCCTAAATCTCATGAGTACACACTTTCCTCTCCCTACCTATCTTTTAATCAATTCCAACAAATACAACGTGAAGGACTCATGTGTGCTTCTTCATTGATGAGAATTCTATTAAATAAATTGTAAACGAATTTTACAAAACAAAAAAGAGAAAGAGAGAAGATGAAAAAATAGGTTCATGTTTCCTAAAAAAAACTGGTCCAACGCAGTCAGCTTGCTCTCAGAGCTCTGAAACCACCGACCTGTTGAGGGAATAACTGATTAACATATTTCTTTAAAAATAATGAAAAGATAGGAGTGAATACCAAATTTTGAGAGATTCTTACTGAGTTTTAAAGTCATATGACACTCATGAGATGGATCTTGAAGTTGCCTTGAAAATCTATCATTTGACCTAAAATATATTGAGATCCCAATGCCCTAAGTCATGCTGGAAGACTATAATGTTTGAATTTCAACAAAAAAGTTTCAAACTAATTTGAAGCCTTCATTAACATTGATAAAATGATCATTAGCCTTTCTTTATATGTGCACATTCCTTTTGGAAGTATGATGTGCAAGAGAAGGTGGTCTTTTGTATTAGGTGGTTAGATATAAGAGAGAGAAACCAACCTCTAACTAGCTTAAGCATAGACAGCATATATTGACTTGCAGAAGGTCGCGATGGAACTGGCCTCGGGCCACAGCAAACAGGTACTCAATTGCTGTCAGGATTGGTTCGCTTTCTCTCTCTGTGTCAGTCATTCTGATCAGTTTCACTGGGGTTACTCAGCCTCAGACACTCTGCATTCAGGGAATTAGAGAGAAAGAGAAAGGGAACTTCAGTTAAACAAAATAAAGCAAGACAATAAAGGGTTCTGGTTGGCCTGTCACATGCCTGCCTCCTATTACTATTGCCAGAGCACTGAGTTCCATGATTAACCTAGCCTGGCCAAATGGGAACTATTTCTAAAAGAAGGAGGTAATGGGTACTGGCCAGGCAATATCAGTAGTTACTGCATCCTCATCTGTTTTGGGTGATAAAAGAAAGGCAGTTTGACATATGAGAAACAAGTTCCAAATAACATGTATCATGGAAATAAACAGGGAAAAGGGGAACAAAGAGGAATAAGATATACAGTGTACTAGAATGGAGTTGGAAGGATTTTATAAACATATCCAGATGAAACTCTACATTTCAATAACAGGCCCAAGTTTGAGTCATTAGGCTACAATGTTCTAATGCCTTAGAAAATATCATGCATACCTAATAGCTATCTTGAAGGAGGAGTAGGTAGAGGAAGAGTGGTTCTCTGAAAGATTGATTCGCAGTACAACACCAGGCAATCAGTGTGGAGTCTCAAGAATAAGACAGAGCGTGATGGATATTTGCTTTGTTTACAAGTAATTATTTTCTTGACCTTTCCAACTCTTCATTTGCCTTTTAGAACTTGGGGAACTTACAGCATTGCACTAATTCTTGAAATAGTTCAACTATCCCAATTCCAACTTTCCTATGAAAGAGAATGAGAGAGAACACTTGCCTCTCTGGGAGCAGACGTTCAGGCTGGAATCACGCAGAGATGCAAGTTTCTGTATTATGACTCCCACATCTAGATTTGACTAGGCCCCAGGGACAGCAGTGGAAAATGAAGCACTCCCACTTGGTGTTACCTCTTTAAAAGTGTGTTTTGCATTACTGATAAGGTTCTGTGGACATCAGCTTGGACAGACCAAGTATCCTCATATCAGGACACAACTCCCTACCTAAATATCCCTTATTGAGCATCTAGAATATGAACCTCCTTCAAAGGTTTCCTTCAAGGTAAGCATTTGCAGGAGCACTCAATCATGCGCATTTTCTTTTGTTTCTCCCCTGCTTCTCTGCCTTTCCAGATGATAGACATGATGTACTTTGTCATCATTATGCTGGTGGTACTGATGAGCTTTGGGGTTGCCAGGCAAGCCATCCTCTTTCCCAATGAGGAACCCTCGTGGAAACTGGCCAAGAACATCTTCTACATGCCTTACTGGATGATTTATGGGGAAGTGTTTGCAGACCAGATAGACCGTAAGCAAGTTTATGATTCTCATACACCAAAGTCAGGTATTTAACTTCAATTGGGTCATGTCTTTTCCAAGCTCATTTGTTTGTTCTCAATAAATGGCTCAAGATAGAGGACTGATTCCTAGTTTGCTATCTTGAAGGGGAAAAAAAAAAAGTTAGAGAAAGCAAAGAAATTGTTTTAGCCAAGTAGTCTACTGGTGTTGCTTCAGGTATGTCCTTTCTGTGACACAAATCGATATCTGCTACCCCAAATTTAAGCCACAAATGGACCATTTAAAAATATCTTAAGTTCCTTTGTGATTCAAAACCCTGGGATTTTTAGAATCGAGAATAGATTGTGTCACTACTCCTCACTCCTATCCCAGCCCCCAGCCCTTTGCCTTCAGAAAATAAATTCCTGGAGTTTGACTTCAGAACAAATAAACAATTCTCAATTTCACCATCAGAATTCAAGAGTAAAGGCAAACATCTGTATGGTGTTTTCCTAGCACTGGAAACTATTCTCTAACTCCCTTTCCCACTGTCTCAAATTATGTGCTAGTGAGACTCATAGGAAGCTAGTGTTCATTGCCTGGAAGTATGGAAAATGCCTTCGGTCATAGACTGAGTTGCTTATATAAAAGCCAGAGGGGGAAAATAGCGTCTATATCATGAAGTGATTTAATGTGGGGAGCAAGCACCAGCAGTCCTCCAGGGTTTCAGGCCCTAATAAGTGGTGATTTTCTGTAATCAACATTCCTCTTGCATGGAGTCTGAAGATAGTTGTAGCCCAAGAGTCTGTTCCAGGATTTTATTTGGACCAAATGTCAGGGCACACCAGGCTTTGGGAAATGACTTGGGAAGAAAGCATCAGGAAAGAAATATCTTCCAGTGTGGAGGAGTCCAGTCCCAGGAGCAACTCCTTCTCATTTCCCCTGAGGAGTTTGTCTCTGGAAATAACACCCCGCCAACATTGTTGAATTAACATTTTTCAGACATATTTTGCTGGCAGGCCAGCAACCTGAGCCCTGGACTGTGGACACGGATTAAGGTTACATAATCAGTGGTATAGCATATTCAGAGCAGTGGCTAATTGGTATCTGCCCCCTGCCCAGCCCAGCCCAGGTAGCACTGAGAGCAGGAACACAAGGACAAAGCCCCCAAAGTGTGAGTCTCCCATGCCTGTGAAGAGCATGTGTACATTGGCAACAGAACACACACATGCATCCTTTTCCCTTCCGTGAAGGATTTTTCACAAATACCCTTTCCTTCTCAAAATGTGTTATACGAGGCAAGCAAGGCTTTTTGGAACACCTAATTGGAACAAATATTTCTTACATGAGACTTAGCCAACTCACAGAGGAAGAATTTGAGCTCCATCTCCTAGTTATAATGTCTCTGGTTGACACTGTGCAGCCTTCGCCAAAACAGTTTTCCTGGGATTGGGGAAAATCCTTCTGAGAGCCTCATTTCAAATGGTCCCTAAAGGCAAAACAGCACTTACAAAGCCCACCAATGACGGCTCTCCTCAGAGATTAAGTGTGCTCTTTTCCCCAAAACATTGCCTTTCCCCTGAGTTATATTATTTTGCCTTTTCTAGTTTTCCTTTCATCTCCAAAATAAGATTAAGCCCCCGTGAGCGTTGTGACAATGCAACATTTTGGGGAAGAGGAGGAGAGAGGTGTAGGCATGTTTTATAAATGGGATTCTGTCTGTCCCTCTACAAGTGGCCATTTATTGATGTTGTACTATGAACCCAGCCTAGTGCAACAACCTCCACCATCTGGCTGAATAAGGATTTTTTATTGTTATTTTAAAAGAAGGGCTGATTGTAGTTTAGAACTTGAAACCCACCCCCAGGAGATGGAAGAGTGCTGTTTTGTGTGAGTGATGTATGAAAACAGATTCACCCCACCGTATTAATTAGTCCTTGGTGCTCTATTTCTGTAAGAAGAAATTTCTACCCTATCCTGATATTTAACTGACCCAGCCTCCTATAGATGCAACATTCCTCATGCCCTTCCCCCAACCACTTACCTTCCTTTTAGACATTGTGAAATTGGCTGCAATGGTAGCCACCGTTCTAAGCTAAATCAGCCAGTTTGCTATCGAGTGCTGGAGTATTTGTCCTTTCTCAAGCGGGTATAGAAGGTGGACCCCAAATCTGTCATTATCCTTGGCCACGGTCATCAAACATCCGTGTCCTTTAAATAATTTGATATTCATGTGATGGCACTGGGTGGGCCCAGTGAGGATTTGATGACTGCTCTCCCTGGGTGTTCAGAACTACCCACAGGACCCAATTACCAAGCCATTTGAGAAAGGTACAAATCACTTTGCTGCCCTATGGTGTCTTGGCTCCTTTCTGTGCCGTGGCCAGGTTGGCGTGTGAAGCATGTATACAGGCTGATCAGAACCCATAGCCACCTGGACCCCTGGCCCTGTGCAGGGCCTGCCAGTCGCAGCCTGTGGGTGTACCTGTGTGGGCCTCTCCAAGTGCTGCTCATGCAAACGCACCTTTTCAGAGCAACTCATTTCCAGCAACGTGCACGCGCTCCATATCTAACTCTTTGTTTTTGACTTTAAAATTGCTGAGCCCATTTCATGGCTGGGGAATTGCTCTTTTCCTTAATTGAGATAGATGTCCATGGATGTATGACGGGGCCTTTGGATGGGGGGCTAATGAGAAAGGTAAACCTGAGGAGAGAGAATAGCTTTAATGCCTTCCTTTTGGGGAGGCAGTGTTACCTAACTATAGATTTTTTTATATACACCCATTTTTCTGCTATCGTTTGTCCTAAACACAGAGACTATCAATAAGGCCAAAAACACTAGAAAGAGACTTATAAGGTTACTTTCCAAATGTGCTTAAAAACTGAAAGCAAAAGAAAAAATGGCGTCACTGTAAAATCACTTGTGTGCTTTTCACCTCTAAGCTGTGTTGGACTAACACAGACCATAGTCCAACTTCAATCCAAATGATCTGTAAGGTTTGGAATATTGGCTTTGGTGTTGGGAGCAAAGAGAGATGAAAGAATGGGACTACAAGCAGAAGATGAGGAAACTGGGGGAGGGACAACGACGGTCTGCTGTACTTTGGAAACTTTCCCTAACACCCTGATTTAATTCACTGGGAACTGAACTTGCTGTTGTTGGTTGGTACTTTGTTTTTGTTTTTGTTTTGACAGGCAGAGTGGATAGTGAGAGACAGACAGAAAGGTCTTCCTTTTGCCGTTGGTCCACCCTCCAATGGCCGCCACGGCTGGCGCGCTGCAGCCGGCGCACCGTGCTGATCCAAAGGCAGGAGCCAGGTACTTATCCTGGTCTCCCATGGGGTGCAGGGCCCAAGTACTTGGGCCATCCTCCACTGCACTCCTGGCCACAGCAGAGAGCTGACCTGGAAGAGGGGCAACCGGCACAGAATCCAGCGCCCCGACCAGGACTAGAACCCGGTGTGCCGGCGCCGCTAGGTGGAGGATTAGCCTATTGAGCCACGGCGCCGGCCTGGTACTTTGTTTCACTTTGTTTTTGTTTATAAAGAGGCTTCTGATGTTTGTGTTATATAATGTACTAACTCTCTACAGCCCAACCTAAGGGCCCCCATGAAGTGACGTAGGCCCAGAGTTGTTAAATACATTGCAACCAAGTGATGACATCCTTCTGAGCACTCTCATTAGGGTGACCCGTGTTGCATGGCCTCTGAAAGCTGGTCAGGCTCCCACTAGAGCCTGACGGGGAAAGGCCGCAGAGAGGAGAAAAGGAGCAGAATAAATTTCCAGAAGCATTCATGCCAAGGCCAGCACAAAGCTAAAATGAGATGGACTCTTGCCAGCTCAGAAATCTGGCTCTACGTTTTGGTGTATGGGGTGCCTGAAAATGCAGCTTTATTGGTGCTGAAAATGGGGTGCCTCTGGCTTCCCCAGCCTTTCAGTGAGGGAGACTTCCGCTTACTTACAGGCCCTCATGTGTTACCTGCCATATATTCAGATTCCTCAGGCTGTTCCAGGGCAAGAGGAAAATGAATCATGCTCTTGACTGCATTAAATAAGGGCCTAAATTTAGTCCTTCTTTCTGACAATCTGAGTATTTCACAAGTTCAGATAGTAACGAGAAAGTAGAATGTCCAAAACTTACTTTCTACCATGAAAACTGAATATTGTCTGGCCCCTTCTACTCCCTTAAAATCAACTATCCCATCTACTTAATGAACGGATCAGTTTTTTTTTCTTGCTGCCTAAAGTTCTCCCACCTGAAATTAGTAGTTAACCTGGTATAGGATTTTTTTTTTATTTTACTTATTCAGTACAAAATTTTTCCATTAAAAAAAAAAAACAAGCTTGCTCCTTTATATCCATGTGGTCCTCCTGTTATGTCCACCGGACTGGAAGTGTTGTTTTGGTCTGAAAACAAGGCTTGTGGATGTGCATATAAAGCTGAAACAGTCTCATGATTTTTTTAGCCTCAAATTAATTATTTCTCATCTGAGGTGTGGAGATTGGGACAGCTCAAGGAGCTGATTCTTAAAATGTACCTACTTCTGGGAAGCTTAGAACAGCATGAACATGAACAGAGAGAGCACGCTGTTGTGCATCTCAACTGCTAGGCTCCAGTTTTCAAAACTCAGGGCTGTGCATCTGCTTAGTATTCCAGCCTGACCTTCTCTAATGGATTCAGAGCACACTAATGCCCACCAGCTATAGCCTGACCAAAGAGAGTATTGTGGAAAAGAAAAACCTGGGCCTGTGCCAACTTTCGGGAATGGGGGGAATTGTTTTGTTGGGTTTTGTTTTTACAAATTTCCAAGGAAGCAAGCCAATATGAGTCACCACCTCATTTTCTGCCTCTTAAAGTCAGCTCACATGAAAGAGAATGCCCACCTGACTTGTTTACCAATGCATGCTGACTCCTGGATTCACAAATAATAGCTCAAGCTGTGACAGGCCTTTGTGATGTTTTCATACCCTGGTGTGGTCCACATTTGTTCCACCATCGTGATAGTCACTTAACATTGGCTCAAAGATTGG